AATCACTCCCGGCGGTGCTCGGGGGACCAAACGGAATGCTGGGGATCGAACCCGGGTCGGTCGTGTGCAAGGCAAATGTCCTACCCGCTGTACTATTGCTCCAGCCCCCCACATAATTTGTTAATGCGATTTGTTTGGGGGTCACACCCCACGAGGTTCGGGACTTCTGACTCTGCTCTCAGGAGGGATTCCTGGCGCTGCTCAGGGGACCTTATGGGATGTCAGGGATGGAACCCGGGGTGGCTGTGTGCAAGCAACCCCCTCCCTACTGTGCTGGCGCTTGGCCCTTCCGCGTGGTTCTAGATGGATCCAGATGGAACTAAAGTCATTCTCCATCCCCATGATCATGGCACACCGCTGAGGATGGAGAGGAGTTCCTAGATATCAAACTCTGAGGAAAGATGATTGGCTGGGCGGCTGAATTGCCTTGCACTAGCTGACTGGGTTGGTTGACCCTCCCCGCGTTAGATATGGTCCCCTGAGCCCTCCAGGATTGACACCGGAGCCTCCCAGGAGTAAGCCCTGAGCACCACTGGGTGTGGCCCCCAAACAATAAAAACAAGCAAAAAGGAGATGCCCGCTGAGCAGGAAGTGTGTGGTGACTGATGGGGGTCTGTTAGGGTGCAGCTATTGTGGCCAGTTCATAGCACCCTTCTAAGCTTACCCCCCCCAGGAAGCCCCTCCTTCTTCCAGCTGCATCCGGGCCCCTGGAGCCTCAACCTAGGCTGTGAGTTTCCCTTCCTGCCAGTCCTGTTGTGTTTTATTTGCTGTTAATGGGCTTGTTTTTTTATTGCTGGGTCTTACCTGCTGCACATTGTCCTCTCAGATTAGAATAATAATACCTTCACTAAATGATAGCTCGGGCTTGCTTTCATCCTGACAGCTCAGAGCCCTCTGCAGGCATGACCTCATTCATTCCTGAGCTCTGGAGAGGGGGACCCTCCTCCCTCCACCTCCAGTCTCCAGTCTCCAGAGCCCAAATTTGCATTCTTGTATTTGTGTTTTGGTTGTAGGGGAGGAAGGACAAATGTGCAAATGTGCGTGCTTTTATTTGGGGGGCGGGGTGGGGGGCACACCCAGCACTGCTCAGGGCTTTCTCCTGGCTCGGGGGACCTGTGGGATGCCAAAGATTGAACCCGGGTCGGCCGCATGCAAGGCAAGCACCCTACCTGCTGTACTATCACTCCAGTCCCCCCAAAGCCAGTTTGGATAAAGCCTCCCTTCCTGGCATGGGAGGGGTGGAGTGGGGGGATAGTCCTCCCTGCAAATGGTGACCATTAGAGAGACCTTTGGGGTAGTCACCCTGAACATTCAGGAGACAAAGGGATCCTGCGATTTTGGCATTTTCAGGATGCTGATCTCCCTTGGGCTGGAGCGATAGCACAGCGGGTAGGGTGTTTGCCTTGCACGGGGCCACATGGCCAACCTGAGTTCTATTCCTCTGCCCCTCTTGAAGAGCCCGGCAAGCTACCGAGAGAATCTCGCCTGCACAGCAAAGATACCCGTGACGTATTTGATATGCCAAGCTACCTGACGTATTTGATATGCCAAACACAGTCACAACAAGTCTCATGAGGGAGACGTTCCTGGGCCCTCGAGCAAATCGTTGAACAATGGGAGGGAGGACAGTGACAGTGACAGTGATCTCCCTTGATAGTTTCTCTTAGCTTGGTTTCATTCTACAGCCACATCAGCGGTGTTCAGGGTTTACTCTTGATTCTGTGCTCAGGGATCACTCCTAGAAGGGTTGGGAAGACCATCTGGGGTGCCAACGATTGAGCTGAAGTGACCCCATGCAAGGCAAGCATCCTACTTGCTCCACTACTTCTCTGGCCCCATCCATGAGGATTTCTTTTTTTTCTTTTCTTTTTTTTGAGGGGGGTGCAGGGAGGGAGGCACACCCATTTATGCTCAGGAGTCATTCCTGGTCAGAAAGAGAGGGATAGATATAGGAAGATTGCATTCATCTGGGGAATATAAAGTAACAAAATAAGAGACTAACACCCAAGAGTGGCCGAGATTAGTACCAGCAATTTTACTCCATGTCTTGGAGGCCAGCCACACATGCTAAGGGAAGAGGGAGCTCAGATAGAGAAGGGAGCACCAAATAAAGGATGTTGGGAGGATCCTCCCAGGATGGGAGAAGCATGCTGAAAGTAGACTATAGACCAAACATGATTGCCACTCAATGCCTCTTTTGCAAACCACAACACTCAAGAGGAGAGAGAGAACAAAAGGGAATGCCCTGCCACTGAGGCAGGGTGGGATAGGGGGGGTGGGGGGTGGGAGGGATACTGGGATCCGTGGTGGTGGGAAATGGGCACTGGTGGAGGAATGGGTACTTGATCATCGTATAACTGAAACCCAAGCACAAAAATTTGTAAGTCTACAACTGTACCTCATGGTGTCTCACTAATAAAAAAAAAAAAGAGTCATTCCTGGCTCTGTATTCAGGAGTTACTCCTGGTGGTGCTCAGGGGACCAAATGGGATGCCAAAGCCCGGTCTGTATTTCTCCAGCCCCCCCCCCCCCCCCCCGCCCCCCAGAGATTCTTATAACCTCAGGGCTGCCCAGGGAGATGCCTGCTACTGAGAGCCCTGGTATGTGTGACATCTGGACTTGAGAAAACTGGAGCCCGGCTGTAACAGCCCTTCCTGTCCCAGCTGCTGGGGGTTGGAGCTGGGGCCGGGTGCACCTCTGCCCAGAGGCCTCACTTTTGTTTTCCTTTGGATAACAACAATCTTGACCTGCCTCTCCTGCACACTCTGGGGTGGTCAAGTGTCACTGGGGGAGAAGAGGAACAGGTCTCAGCAGGCAAGAAGCTGACTCCTGCCGCTTCCAAACAAACCAGCAGAAGGAGAAACAAAATGTGATCAACTCATTATAGTGCCCCGGGCTGTTTTTCTTCTGTACATAAACAGTGGGTGGAATCTTTTCCTTATTTTTATACTTCCTAAAGTATGGTCATTGGCTGGAGAGAGGATTCAATGGGCAGGGCACATTTTGCTGCTTTGCATCCAATATCAGGCACCTTAGTACCACCAGGAGTCCCGACCTCAGCCCCAACACAGAGCCAGGAGTTGTTTCTGAGTTCCAGGTATGATCCAAAACTAAATAAAAATTTTTAAATGTGGTTAAAAAATTTTTTAAATGAGGCAAGATCAAAGCAGAGGCAAAGAGGTCCTGAGAGATAGTGCAGCAGGTAGGGTGTTTGCCTTACACATAGCAGACCTGGGTTCAACTCCCACCATCCCCTATGGTCCCCCTACACTGCCAGGAGTTATTCCTAAGTGCAGAACCAGGAGTGACCCTTGAGCATCGCTTGCTGGCTGTGACCCAAAAATAAAAAAGATATAGAAAGAAACTGAGTCAAAGAGATAGCTCGCAGCTGATGGGTCCAGTGTATGCTTAGCAGGTTCAAGCACTAGCATCCCCACGAATGGCCCTATGCACCCAGCCAGGAGTGCCCCTGAGCACCTGAGTGTGGCCTCCAAACCAAAACCAAACAACCGAAAAAGATGGACACATGCTTTGCTGTTTTGAGCCGTTAGGGCTGGAGCCATAGAACAGTGGGTAGGATACTTGCCTGACATGTGACTGACCTGGGTTGGATCCTAGCACCCTGTATGGTCCACCCAAGTCTTGCCAGGAATATTCCCTAAGCACAGAGCCAAGAGTTAGCCCTGAGCACTTGCTAACCACTGAGGTGGGGGTGGGGACAAAGACAACAACAAAAAAAAAAAAAGAAGAAGAAAAGAAATTAAGTCTTTAGTTAAGAAAAACAGTTCTCACTTGGGAGGCCAATGAGAGAGAAAGCCTCACTTCCCCCTTACAATTATATTTCCTGTACATCAACATTTTTTTACATCCACAGAAACCACATTTTTGTTTTTGTTTGGGGGCTACATCTGCTGTTCTCAGGGCTTACTCCTGGCTCTGCACTCAGGAATAATTCCTACTGGGGCTCGGGTAGGGTGGGGTGGGGGTGTCGAACCCGGTTCCGCCTCGAGCAAGGCAAGCACACTACCCACTGTACTAGCTCTCCATCCCCAAGACCTAAATATTCCATCTGAAAGTTAAGGAGGAGCTGGGAATGTCGCTCAGGTGTAGAGTGCTTGCCTAGTCTGTCTGATACCCTTAGGCGCGATCCTGTCACCGGAAGAGCAAAACAAAAACAAAAGACATAAACAAAAACATTCAAGAGAAGGCAGCCTGGCTTTTGGAGTAGGTTCTGATTGGAAGGGGGGGGAGGTGGAAAATCAACCGAGGTGTGCTATATTGCCTCAAAAAGCTAAAATAATAATAATAATGATGATAATAAAGCAGCATGGAAGCATTTTTTTTAAAAAAAAACGAAGCTGTTTTGAGACTGCGGCAGCTGCAGCGGCTCTGTTTTCTATTTCGATCGTTCTGTTTCTCGAGATGACCACATCTTTCAGAGGAAATGAGTCAACGCCGCTCGGGCTTGCTTTTCCAGCTGAGCATGTTCCGTTTCAATGAAGTAATGAATGAACTTGGCCGCACCACCTCCCCCCCCGCCCAGCCTACAACAGCAAACACAGGGGCCTCGGCCAATCAGCAGGCACTCCAGGCTTTCAAGCCGCGTTCAAACGGCCGCGCGGCGGACCAATCGGAGTGCGCGTCCCCGCCCCCGGGCCGGGCCGTGGGCCAATCCGGAGCGCGGACGGGCCCAAAACACAGCGGCCGGCCAATGGCGAGGCGCTCCCGCGGCGCCGCGCTCGGCCAATGGGCGCGGCGGGGCCGAAAGCGAAACAGTTGCGGGCCGCCCGGCCGCAGGCCTCGGAGCTAGCGTCCCGCACGGGGCCCGGAGCCGGCCGCTCGGCGCGGGCCAATCAGCGGCGGCGGCGGCGGCTCGCGGCCCCCGAACGTCGGGGACACCCGGGCCCCGGCCCCGGCCCCGCCCCGCGCCGTTGTTGGTGGCGGTGCCGGCGGTCGCGCGGGCCGGACCGGAGCGGAGCGGACCGGAGCGCCGCACTCGCCGCGCGCGGGGCCTCCCGGGGGTCGCGCGCGCCGGAGCCATGTCGGTGAACACGGACGAGCTGCGGCACCAGGTCATGATCAACCAGTTCGTGCTGGCCGCGGGCTGCGCGGCCGACCAGGCGAAGCAGCTGCTGCAGGCGGCGCACTGGCAGTTCGAGGTGCGCGGCGGGGGGCGCGGGGCGCGGGGTGAGGGGCGGCGCGGGGCGGGGTGGGGGGCGCGCGCGCGCGCGGGCGGGCCCGGAGCCGCGGCCCGGCCCCGCTCACCCGCCCCCGGCCGCTGTGTTTGCCCGCAGACCGCGCTGAGCACGTTCTTCCAGGAAACCAACATTCCCAACAGCCACCACCACCACCAGATGGTAAGGGGCGCGCGGGGGGCGCGCGGGGTCGCTGTCACCCGCCCTGACAGCCATGTTCCCGGGGCGCCGCCGCCGCCGCCGCCGATGTCAACAAAGAGCCAAAATGTCTCCCGGCTCGGCTCGGGGGGTCTGCGGCCCCGGGGGAGGGCAGGGGCGCGCCCCCCGCCCCCGGGGACGCGGAGGGGGAGGCGTGCGCGCGCGCCGTCCTGGCCACCCAAGGAGCCGCGGCCCCCCGCCCCCCGCATACCCGCAGGGGGACTTATCGGCCGAGCCCGGGCCGATAAGGCCGAGAATTTGCACCCAGGCCTGGGGGTGGGGGGGAGGATCAAGCGCGGCGTCCACCAGGGCCGCTTCCGGTGGCCCCTCTCGGCCTGGCCGGGCCTGGGTCTGAGCCTGTGCACGTGGGGGGTCGGGGGTGCAGCTCCAGGCCCCGGGTCTCAGTCCTGGGGGGTGGGTGGGAGGCCCGGGCCCTCGCCAGCGCTCACCACCACCACCACCACGGTTACCTATTAGCCCTGGGGGAGGGGGCGCAGCCTGGCTCCAGATAGTGATTGTAAAACATGGTTCCCCCAGAGAGATGTGTTGTGGCTTTTCGAGTGCATAGTTGGCATTTTTAACTCTTGTCCTGGCCCTGGGCGCCTTCCAGCTCTTGCGGGTCCCCTGGGAGCTCCCGCGGGTCCCCTCTCTGGGCCTTGGCACTCTGTCTGCAAACAGGGCGGTGAGGGGGCCCGCCGGGGCCCTTGACACCGGCTTTTTTTTTCTCTGACCCTGGCTCAGGTGCAAACAAAAAAAGGGCCTTTGGAATAGCATGGGAGGTTGGCACTGGCTGGAGGCAGGAGTCAACCCAAACGTGGTGTCTGCAGGAGACCCGCTTCCCTGTCCCCAGGGGAACGTCAGATTCCGACTCAGCCCAGGCGGGTCTGAGAATTCCCCAGAGGCCCCAGCTTGCAGGTTTGACCATGCCGAAGGCCTGGACGGGGTCTGGGCTCTGCAGATCCCAGGGACTCCAGTCCTCCAGGCAGGCAGCGTGGGAAGCCCCGTGCCTGCTCTGGGGAGCCAGGCCTTTGGGGATTGGGACCAGCACACGGGTGGGAGCTGGGCTCCGGTGCAGCGGGCTCGTCCCACAGATCAACACAACCTGTTCCCTTTCCAGCTGAGTAGGGGCTTCCTTGAGGCCGTTGCGGAGTACCCACTAGAAAATACAGGCCCTTCGCTTGCCAGCAGGGCCCAGAGACCTTGGGGGCATCAGTATTTAGAAGTGCGGGGGAGGGAGGGGGTCCGCAGGGCTGACTTGTCGGACTTTTCAGCTGCTGGTCCCACCCCTGGTCCAGAGGAGGCCCAGAGAGGGTATGGAGGTGGGCCCGCCTGTTCCCGTGCAGAGGAGAGCCTGTTCCCGTGCAGAGGAGACAGGCGTGCAGAGGAGACAGGCGGGGTGCACTGGGGAAGTCGGTCACGATGTGAAGCAACTGGCTCCCCCCGCCCCCACCCCCATTCATTGTTTCCTGCTGCCGAGAAGTCAGCCCTGGGGAGGGGGAGGGAAGCGACCTGGGTGGGGCAGGCCTGCGGAGTCCCAAGGAGACAATGGCTGGAGTGCCCTAGCTCCTGGGGGTGGGGGGGGCGCTGGCCGGCTTTCACTGCTCACTGAGAAAGGCCCCTGCGAGGTGCAGAACCGGCGCCTGGGGGAGGGGCAGCGTTGCTAAAATTAGGAGAAATTCAAAGAAGGGCCCGTGGCCTCCTGGGAAAAGGAGCTGCTCAGTGCTGGCCCCGGCCTGCCCCCGCCACTTCCCACGCCCCCCCCCCCTCGTGGGGTGGGGACTCCTAGGTGGCACCCTTGGTAGCAGGTTTCAGGGGACAGCCAGTTCTGGGACAACTCCACCCCCACCCCCCATCCCTGCTCCTCCTGGACAAAATCCTGCCCAAAAGGCCAGAGTACAACGGGTAGGGCGTGAGTCTCGCCTCTGTTCCATCCTCGGCACCCCCTCACGTCCCCAAGCCTGGCCAGGAGTGATACTTAGCACTGCCACGTGTAGTTTAAAAACTAGTGGGGGCAAGGTCTAGGAAGCCTCTTCATGGGTGTGTGACATGGGGTCCCCATCGGCCATGTTTCTGGCTGAGCCCCCATTGCCGGGGTGCGGGAAATGGGATCTTGGGGACCCCCAGTCTGGAATCGGGAGCCAGCAGGGGAACCATGCCATGTCTTGTCCCTCTTCTCTCCCGTGACCCGGGGCTTGCCGGGTGGGCATTGCGGGGGCACCCTGCTCTGCCAGCCTCCCTTCCCAGCCCCCTCGGCCACCTCAGGGCTTGTGTCAGCTGCTGTCCCCGCCTGTCCCCTGCTGCCCTCTCAGCTGGCACCTGGCGACCAGAAACGGTCCAACCTAGTTCTGGCCTGTAATCAGGGAGGCCACGGCGGGGCTGGACGGCAGGCCGTGGAGGGTCCCTGGCCAGGGGTGAGGGAGACCCCCAGGAGGCGAGAGCCAGGCGGGGTCCCCTTCCCAAGTCTCTGCTTCTCTCCCAGCAGATGTGCACCCCCAGCAACACGCCTGCCACCCCGCCCAACTTCCCCGACGCCCTGGCCATGTTCTCCACGCTGCGCGCCTCCGAGGGCCTCCAGAGTGGCGGCAGCCCCATGGCCACCGCCTGCTCCCCCCCAGCCAACTTCAGCCCCTTCTGGGCCTCCTCGCCGCCCGGCCACCAGCCCACCTGGATCCCGCCCGCGTCCCCCACGGCGCACGGCTTCCTCCACCACCACCACCCGCCGCCCACGTGGCCGCCGGTCGCCGCACAGGGGAGCGCCCAGCAGAAGCCCGTGGCGGCCCTGGACGGCCAGAGATGAGACTGGGGGGGCCGCCGGGGGAGAGGGGGCGCAGCTTCCTGAAGATGGCACTGGAAGGTTTTATAAAGGGATTTTTTGTGGGGGGTGGGGGTGGGGGGGCAGTAAACTTCCCAGGCCACTTGGGTCCTGCTGGAGTTTTCAGGCAAGTTTTTTTTTTCTGTTTTTAATATATAACTATAATATATATGAATATGTAAACAATGGATGAGGATGCGCTGGTGCAGCAGGGCGCTCAGGCCAGCAAGGGGGCAGCCCCCACCCCATCCCATGAAGGTGTGATCTTGGGGTGCCCACCCAGAGGGTGAGTTTGCTGCCTCCTTTCATGGGAATGGGGGGGGGCTCCCAGAGGCTGGAGGTGTGGGGACTGCCCTGGGGCCAGACTGAGGGGTTTCCTTCCCCAGCGGGCTGTTACCTGGATGTGACTTTAATTTAAAAACTTAAAAAAGAGCCTTTTCTAACCTCCCTGGTTTGCGCTGCCTTTATTTACCTGGCAAGGGGACTGCGCTGCCCCCGGGGGCCTCTTCTTCCTGCTGGGCAGTTCCCCACACCTGCCCCTGGCCACAGCGCATGGCAGGTCCTGGGGACTGGCTGGTCCCACAGGGCCTTGGGTGGGGAGCGTCCCTAGCCCCAGGGGCACTGCACGGGCCCCACACCTTGACCCCTGTGAGCCTGTGTGGGTTTGTGGGCCCAGCCACTGGGGGAGCCCCCCAGGAAGCTGACACACCTGCTCTGGGGCCTTGAGGTGGCTTCCCTACTCTGCTTGGGGCAGCCCCAGGGGGTGACCGAATACTCAGGCTGGCTCTGCCCTGTGGGGTGGCCCTGGGTGGGATCTGGGGCTCCCAGCACCCACCCCCGCCCCCTGCTCACCTGTGCTTTTCCCTGCAGTGCCGGGCACATGTGTGGGCGTGGGAGCTGCCTTTCTGGGTGCGGAGGGCTGGCGGGCCTTGTGGCTGCCCTGGCCGGGCCTGTGAGTCTAGATTCTCGGCCAGGGACGTGGGGGCCCCCTCCGCCTCCTGACATTTCTCTGCAGGGTGAGAGAAAGGGGAGCCGGCAGGCATGGGGGAGGGGTTGCCTGGCTGCCACCCTGAGCAAAGGACACTGGGGGAGGGGCACCAGCTGGACTCCCCTGCTCTCACCTTTATGGGGGGTGGGGAGGGCGGCTGGCTTGAGCGAGTAGCCCGGGTTTGAGCCCCAGCGTCACATGGCCCCTAAGCAGTGCAGGTGTGGTACGAAAACCAGAGTGGGGAAAAGCAAGGGGAAGCCCCCCTGCAAGGCGCTGTCAGCCCAGAGAGAAGCCCCCAAGACCTTTTCCACCCTGGGAGGGAGGCTGGGATGGGGAGAGCCCCACTTCTGCCCGGGGCCCGAGAGGCAGAACCAGGGTGGGGGGTTCCTCCACCAGCCAGCTTCCTCTTTGGGGAGAGCCAAAGTAGCAGTTGGGGAGACAGAACCCTTCTGCAAGGCGAGGGGCGCTGGCCCCCCGGATGTGGGCTGGTGCCTGCCAGCACCTTCCCCCTGAGGCAGGCACAAGGTGTCCTCCCCACGGAACCCTGGGAAGTGGGCCCACCCGTCAGGCCAGCACCCCCAGACTGGATGGCAGGGCTGAAGCTGGGGAAGAAACACCCAAGTCTGGTCCTGGTCCGGCCGTGGTCAGGAGGGCTCTGAGGGAGTAGCCCACAGGGCCCGCCCCCGCAGCCTTGGGACTGGCCCAGCTGTGCCCCGGACCACCCAGACCCCCAGACCCGCTTCCAAGGAGCAGCTCCGCCTTTCGGCTCAGGCACAGTTGAGCAGCACCACTCTCACGCCTGTGACAAAACATTTATTTATGTGTCTGAGGACGCTGCTCTGTCCTCGGCGGTGGAGCGGGGGCCCCGCGTGGGCTCCTCCGGACCCTCTCGGGGATGCATGCTCAGCGGGACCTGGGGCAGCGGCGGCAGCGGCGTGGGGACCAGGTCGCTAGGGTGGCTGGGCGGGGTGGCCTGGACCTGCTCCGGATCTGTCAGGTAACCCTCCGAGGAGATGGGTCTGTCTTTCCGCTGACGCCCTGGAGCTGTAAGAAAGGGCCTGTGGGGTCGGGGGGGCTGCGGGGGGCTCCCGGTGCCCTCAGGGGTCACCCCTGCTCGTCCAAAGCGGCAACACCCTATGAGTGCAGGTCCCATGGGTGAGGACTGGGCCCTGCTCCACCCTATCTGTCTCACCTGCTCCATGATGTTTGGCGGGGGGGCCCTAGGCACAGACAGGACAGCCCAGCACCTCTGATAAAGGGGGGTCAGGAGCCATGGTCACAGGACCAAGCTGCTGTGTAGCCCTGCTGCTTCTGGGCTGTGTGACTTCAGGCACGTGCTTGACCCCTCTGTGCCTGCCTCAGCAGCCCTGAGGAGCCCCACCCGTTCCCCCACTACCGTCTGCTTCATTCCTGCTTCCTCAGGTACCACCCGAGAAGGCCAGGATGGAGGACCCGCACCGGGCCGGGAGGGTCTGCCTGGACCTCCGAGAGGTGGTGCTGGCACCAAGCCTGGAGTGGGCAGATGCCGCCTCATGCATCCCGGGTGCTTGGCTCCAGGCAGTGCCGACTTGTCCCCCTTAGAGAAGAGGCGCTGAGGGAGCCAGCCCTGCTCTGGGCCAGTGCTCCCCTGGACCTCCGGACCCAGACTTTGGGGAGAACAGGCGCGGCCCCAAGGTGGGCAACACAGGGCCATGATGAGGGGGTAGGGTCCCAGGCTTTACTAGGATCCCTGGGGGGGGGGGGGCAGTGGGGCTGTGGGGAGGGTGAGTGAGGTGGGGTCCCCGGCCTTACCTAGGCTGCCTCTAAGCGTCATCTGCGCACTCAGGGGCCGCAGCAGCTGGCTGAGCTCGCCAAGGGTCTGGTGCGGCTGTGACCGGGACTGCTTGGTCCTGCTCTTCCCCGGGACTGCGGACAGTGGGGTGGGGCCAGGGTCACCACTTCACACTGGCCGCGATCCCCAGCCCTGGGCAGGAACCTGGTGCCAGAAGGGGAAGGTGGGGAGCAGCATCCCAGGCTGGGGGAGGCCCCCAAGGAGGGCCGGAGGCCTGAGGGGTGGCAGGAAAGGAGTCTCCCCTCCCCCCCGGCTCCACGGTGGGACCCTACCTGGGCTGGCCTCGGACTCCCTGTTCCGGATGCTCGGGAGTCTCTTCATCTCCATCCGCCCCTTATAGATGTGCCCATCCAGGCCCAGGATGTCCACCTCACTGTGCTGGGAGGGGCGCAGGCGTCACGGGGGGGCTTCTCGCAGAGACCACCCCACACCCAACATGCTCAGGACCCCTGCCGGGAGTGGGCATGCTCTCGGGGGCCCCCCGCGGCAGCACGACGCCAGGCGCTGGAGCCACAGGACCCCCACGGCAGGGGGAGGGCGGGCCCCGCCCCCACAGCACCCCACCTTCATGGCAATCTGGACCTCCTCGGTGGAGTGCAGGTGCTGTGGATGCTGCGCGCGGGCACGACGGAACGGGTAGGTGAGGGTGTGGCTGCCCCCGCAGTGACGCGGGATTGCCGAGTACGTGTAGTTGGTCATGTCTGCACCCCTGCACGGACACGGGGGACAGCAGTAGCTGGGACCTGCGCCCGGACTCGGGGACATGGGGCCACCCTGAGGACTGAGGCCACCGGGGCACGCACACACACACACACACACACACACACATACACACCTCTCACTGCCACACCACATGTAACTCCCACAGACCTTCGCCCACAGTCACCTACCCGCACACACATGCACACGGTTCCGCTCTCATGCATTCACGCGGGCCTGTGCGTGCACAGCCTGTGCGTGCGCACTCCCGTGGCCCTCACCGCCTGTAGCAGGGCGAGTGCAGGCAGCGGGCCTGCAGCAGCTCGCGGATCATCTGGCTGCTGGTCTTGACCGAGCCCCCGAAGTGGATCTGCACCTTCTCGATGTCCATGAGCATCTTGGAGTGCATGGTGCGCAGCCGGCCCACGCTCCGCTCCCGCTGGGACACGTCGCCCCGGGACAGCGTCGCGGTGGTGCTGGTGCCCAGGGACGGGAGGGTGAGGGAGGGTGAGGCCGGAGCCTGGCCCTCCTTCCCAGACCCCTCCTCGACAGCACCCCTTTGTGCCAGAGAGAAGGTTCAGTGGGGAGGGCGTTTGTTTTGTACACGCCTGACCTGGGTTTGGTCGGTCCTGCGAGCCCCACCACGAGTGGTCCCTGAGCGCAGAGCCAGGAGGAATCCCTGCGCACCTTTGGGTATGGCCCCCCAAAACAAAAATCAGACCTCTTTGAGGGTATTGGGGTCCTTGGGTAGCACCGAGGAAGGTCTCTCCCCCCCCAACCCCAGACCCCTGGGCCCACCCCTCATGCAGACCCTTGGCCCTCCACCTAACCCTGTACAACACCCGAAACCCCAGGATCCCCAAGCTTGGTTTGAAAAGCTTTCCGACCCATAGGGGGAAAAATGAACCTTATTTTCTTTATTGCAGGAGGGGGCACTCCCCACCGTGCTCAGGCCAGGCGGTGCATGGAGGGGGACCCCCGACACCACACCCAGTGAGGGGGCATGTGAGGTATCTAGGCTGGAACTCAGGTCTGCACCCAAGCACCCCAACTCACACTGTCATTCAGCCTACCCCTTCCCTGCCTCCGAGCTGGGGTGCTAAGATAGCGGAAGGTTCTGGGCGTGTAGATGGGTAACGCAGAGCCCCAGAGCGTTCCACTGCACCTCAAGGCAGCTGGAGCCCTATTTCTGCCTGCTCCAGCTAACGCCCTGAGAACTGCTGAAATCAGCTCCCAGGGGGCACAGTGTACCCACCCCGAGCTGTGGTTCCTTCTACCCTCTGGACGCTCCGAGTGGGGGACGGGTACCTGCGGCTCTGCTGCCGGATCTGCTCCAGCTCGAAGATGGTGTAAGGCCGAATGGAGCGGTGCCCGGGCATACTGGGTCCCAGGGGCGTCACGGGGATGAGTCTGGCCAGGGACAGAGAGTGTGTGGGAATGGATCCAGGGCCGGGGCAGGGCAGGGCCTCCAGTGTTGTGTCCTCCCCGGGGGCCAGGTGTGGGCGCTCACTGTCCAGTCACCGTTGTCTCCAAGGGCCGGTCACACGAGAGGCAGTGGAAGTGTGCCAGGAGCTGCCTGTGTAGAACGGCATCCGGGCGCGGTGAGCCCGTCCAGAAGGGACAGGGAGCGGAGAATGGCGGAACTGGAGCTCAGCACATAGGTGGCAAGTGCCAGGCCACCAGGGTACTGAGGCTGTCTCCCCCACCCCGGCCCCCGCCACCAGCTCTGGCCATGCCAGCTTCAGGCCTGCCCAGTGCCCACCAGTCCTAAAGCACCTGGGAAAACGGGAGGAGGGGCGGGGAGGGGGGGAGAGGAATGGGAAGTGACCCCTCAGGTGTGTGTCCTGGACGCCTTACTACTGGCCACGGGCAGATATGCAGGGATCCAAGCTCAGCCCCTGCAGGGGCTGCCCAGAGACCGCCCAGTGGGGACAGAATCCCACTTAGGACACCCCAGCCTGGCAGGCCGCAGGATGCCCTTTTCCTGCTGGACAGAGATGGACCCCTGCCCGTCCCCGAGCTGTGCCAGTGAGCACCTGCGCATGGCGGACGCCTCGTCGGCCTGGTAGAGCGGGGGTCGCTCTTTGAGCTGGTGCCGGATCGCCCTCCAGCGGTCCTCCAGCAGCTGCTTCAGAGGGTCCAGCTCCAGGCGGTTCAGCTGCGGGCCGAGGGGTCAGCCGAGCTCAGGAAGCCTGGCAGGCCCCACAGCACCCCTCAAAGGGAGAGGGGTCTCAAGCCCGGCGCTTCCCCCGACCTTCACCTTGGTGTCCATCTCCACCAGGATCTTGTCCACCATCTTCTGCCAGTCCTGCTCCTGCCCGCTGACCTTGGCCACCAGTTCCTGCATCATATTGTTCAGCTGCTCCGTGGCGGCGTCAAACTGGACGCGAGTCACGGTGGCCGCCAGGGCACTCTTGTCGGCTTTCTGCCAGGAGAGAGGGGAAGGCGACCCCCGGGGTGGGCCAGAGCCACAGAGAGGCTCTTCCCCTCCCAGCCTCGTCCACCATGCCCGGGGGTCCCTCCCGGACCACCCGGGCCTTACCACGTCGATTTCCATCTCCAGGTGCTCCCGGTTGGCCTTTTCCTTCTCCAGCTTCTCCATGCCCCGGTACAGCACCTGCAGGGTGCACAGATGAGTATCGCCGGAGGGGGCGGTGCCTCGGCCCCCGGGGAGCCCCACCGCTCCCAGAAGCCCCGACCACCCCCGCCCACCGCTCCCTGGGAGCCTCGCCCACCCACCAGCACCATCCTTCAAGGAGCCCCGCCCCTCCCGGGAGTTCCACCCACTGCCTCTGCCAGCCCTGCCCCTCCCTGCAGGAGCCCCGCCCACCTGCCTCCACCAGCCCCTCCCCTCCCAGAAGCCCCGCCCATCTCCTGCCAGCCACGCCCCTCCCGAGAGTCCCACCCATTGCCTCTGCCAGCCCCCACCCTCCCAACCCCCCCACCCCTACCAGCCCCGCCCCTCCCCGCAGGAGCCCCACCCACCCTTCTCCACCAGCCCCTCCCCTCCCAGAAGCTCCGCCCATCTACTCCTGCCAGCCACGCCCCTCCTCGGGAGTGCCGTCTCCACCAGCTCTGCTCCTCCCACGAGCCCCGCCCAACCATCCTGCCAGCCCCGCCCTTCCACAGAGCCCCGCCCACCCACACCGCCAACCCCTCCCTGGAGCCCCGCTCCTCCCGGAGCCCCGCCCACCCACCCATCAACCCCTCCCAGGGCCCCGCCCCTCACCGGAGCCCCGCCCACCCTATCTCCCCGCGGCTTACAGCAATGTCCTTCTGCTTCTGCCGGTGGTCCTCGATGAGGTTGCTGGTGGTGATGTTGAGCTTCTCGCAGTCGCCCTGCACCTGGAGGATGGCGCTCTGCACGTGGCCCAGCAGCTCCTCATCCTGCGGGGGCCGGGGTACAGAAGCCTCCGCGATCATGGGGTACGGGTGTGGGGGGGTGCCGGGTGGGGGTACTAAGGTGCGTGGGCTCTAGGCCTCTCCTGGCTCCAGGTGCTGGGGTCCGTTCCCTAGGCAGAGGGGGACGCTGGGGTCACCTTGGGGGCAGAGGGGCGCCGGCGGTACCTGACTCTGCAGCTTGGCTTTCTTGGAGGGCCGGGAGGCAGCCAGGCTGTTGACCATGTCCTGCAGGTGCTCATAGCGCTTCACCAACATGCTGACCTGGTGGCCCAGGTCCATGCTGCAGGCGGGGCACGTGGCCTCAGGGTCCAGCTTGCCCGGTGCCAGGGTAGCCGCCAGCTTCTCGGGTGGCTTTGGCTTCTGAGGGACCATGCTCATGGACAGCAACGTGGATGACGAGGCCAGCATGTTCTGGATGATGGCCCTGAGCTTGTCCAGCTGGAGACGCAAGAAGAGGGGGGCGGTAGTGAGGGGGGAGGCAATGTAGCGGGGGAGGTGAGGGGGCATGGTGGGGGGCCGCTGGCCGTGAGCGAGGGGGGGGGCGTGGTGAGGCAGGGGCGACTGTGGTGTTGGTGGGTGGGGCATGAGGCGGCGCTACCTGGCTACCCTTGGCGCTTGCTGGCCTTGGCCTGCGGGGCCCCAGGCAGGTGAGGGGCTCACAACGTCCCCTCCTCTCCCTAGGCAGTTCCCTGGGACTGGGAAAACTCGGAGCTACCTACCAGTGGGGTCCCGAACCACACTGACGCCAAAACAGTTGGGTTCACCTGTCAGGGTGGGGCTGCAGCCAGATAAAGACTGGGGGAAAATCACAGCCCACACCCCAAAGCCCCTGCACAGTTAAAAATTTAACTCCAGCTGGACCACCCAGTTAAAAATTCTGGATTTCCTGGAGAACAAGGCCACATTCACGGTGGCGAGGCATCTCCAAACTTTACAACGTGGTCGATTCATCAGGAGCGCACCACATGGGTTGGAATGCAGACCCCGACCAACCTAACTAGCAAAAAAACGTTAACACAGAAGCCTGACTTACAACATCTTAGTAATCCTTCAGACAAGGACTTAACATCCCCATAGTGAGACACAATGATTTTCACTAAATTCCTAATAAGGAAAAAAAAAAAAGAATGTGGAGGGTTGTCGGCTGGGATCAGCTGCTTCTCTGGGTGCTTCCAGGTCCTTCTCATCCTCTGTCCCCCTTGAAGGGTTGGGTTGGCTGACACTCTGACTCAAGCACCATCAGCCCTGAGACAGACCAAAGGTTGGACCGTGCCGCCAACCCCTGAGACAGGCTGGTCCCATTCGAGGTGGGTGCCAGTGCTGGGCATGGGGGAGAGGCCAGAGCCGTAGTATGATGTAACGTGGCCCACCTGGGTCCAATCCCCGACATCCCATGGGGTCCTCCAAGCACTACCAGGAGTGATTCCTCAGCTCAGAGCCGGGTGTGACCCCTGAGCCCAGCTGGGGCTGACCACAAAAGATGAGGACATGGCAGAGGATGCCCAGACAGAGACAAAGGAGGACAGCAGCCCTGCTCTGAGCCCAGAGACTGTTCCAAGACCCTGGGGTTAGGAGGACAGATGGGCCCAGTGGAAAAGATGGGAGGGCGGGGGGGGGGGGTTGCATGGCTGCTTTACCAGCATAAAGTCACGAGTTCAATACCCAGTGCTGCCCCGTGTGCCAAGTGTGATGCTGGCAGCTCTGTGCTGGGCAGGCGACAGCGAAACCTGCCATTAGTAGGTGTGCGTGAGCAGCCTAAAGTGGGGAGAGGGGCGTGCTTGGGTGCCCCAGCAAGCACCACGTGTTATTGCCTCAGTGCTCAGGGGTAGCTCCTGGCAAGATTTGGGGAACCCTATCGGGTGCCAGGGATCAAACCTGGGTTGGCTGCATGTGAGGTAAGTGCCCTCCCCGCAGGACCATTGCCCCAGTCCCAGCAGTAGCCCACTTTACTTTTGATAATTTTATTAAAATTATTATCTAGTTTTTACTCTTGAGAACCTGGCAGGCTACCAAATGTAGCCTGCCCACACGGCAGAGCCTGGCAAACGCCCCGTGGCATATTCAATATGCCAAAAACCAGTAACAATGATGGGTCTCATTCTCCTGACCCTGAAAGAGCCTCGAATGTGGCACTTTTTAAAATCTCAGGGCTAGGACGAAGGAAACGTTACTGGGGCCTGCTGGAGGCAATCGATGAACAACAGGATGACAGTGACAGTGATACAGCGAAACCTTAATTTTTTGGCTTTTGGCGGTGACACCTGGTGATGCTCAGGGGTCACTCCTGGCTTGGCACTCAGGAATTACTCCTGGTAGTGCTCGGGGAGTGTACGGGATGAAGAGAATCGAACTCGGGGCAGCCGGATGAAAGGCAAATGCCCTCTCTGCTGTGCTATCGATCTGGCCCCAACCTGGCTCACTTTAAAAGGTGAGTTTTATGATCTGGAAGTCGCGGCACTTTTTTTTTTTTTGGTTTTTGGTTTTTGGGTCACACCTGGCGATGCACAGGGGTTACTCCTGGCTCATGCACTCAGGACTCACTCATGGCAGTGCTCAGGGGACCATATGAGATGCTGGGAATCAAACCCGGGTCAGTCGCATACAAGGCAAACGCCCAACCCACTGTGCTATCGCTCCAGCCCTGAAGTTGCGGCATGTTAAAGGTCAGATGAGCAGCCTGGAAGGCTCAGAAGCTGGCCCCAGATTAGGAGGCGACTGTGGCATTACCAGCACCCACAAACAGGAAGGGAAGACGGGCCCCACAGTCCTCAGAGGCCTCATGGGAAACATCCTCACCTGGTCCTGCAGATAAAGGGAAGCTTCAGACATTGATTGCTCCAGGGTCTCCTTGCCGACCTCTTGGCTCTTCCTCAGCTCGGCCAGCTCGTTCTCTATGTTCGCCACGGTGAGTCTGCATACACGAGAGAGGTCTGGAGCTGGACCAGCACATCGCCGGGGTCGCCGGAGCCAGCAGAGATGGAAGAGGGTGCCCTCGGGTATAGCCTGGCCCAGCCAGGGTTGCCCAGTGTGGTCTGATTCTAGAGAGGATCCCCAACTTGGCAGGTGCTCAGGGCTCTCCCGCCAGGGTCAGAATTCAAGATCTTTGGGTGGGTTGTTTGGTTGTGGGTGGGGGTCACATCCAGCAGCGCCCAGGGCTTACCCCTGGCTCTGAGCTCAGGGATCACCTTTGGCAGGCTTGGGAGACCCTATGGAGTGCCAGGGATTGAACCCAGGTTGGCCGCTTACAAAGCAAGTGTCCCCTCCTCACCCTTAACCCCAGCCTCCCAGGAGGGTTTGGGGTCCTTGAAGGCCTGGGGCTGAACTGTTATAAACATCTGGGACATTTTTGCCACTAGTTCGAGAAGCAGGAAGCTCAGATCTGCCAGTGGTCAGCTCAGGCTGTGAGTGAGGTCAAGGGCATGGCCACCCTGGGTTGTGCTGAGCTTCCGGGGGGGACGGGGGGACGGGGGGCACTGTCTTACCTGAGCAAGCCCAGCTGCAAGCCCAGATTGCCAGCTTCAGGCTCCCGGTCAAAATCCACATCCGCTTGGCCCTCCAGGAGCCTCTCCAGCTGCAGAGCCAATAAAGGTGGGGGTCAGAAAACATCGTGCCTCAGCGGCAGAACAAGCCTCTCCACCACTGCCCAATCCCATCCCACCTTGGGACAAACCCAGGTCTCGTCCTGACTCCCTCCAACCCCGCACCTGTCTCCATGTCCAGGATGCGGATGGCTGGCCAAAGATGCTGAAAGCCTGGCCTGGCCACTGGCCCTCAAAGGCCACGAAAGGTGAGTCATACCCAGTGGTGCTCAGAGGCTAGACTTGACTCAGTTGTGACTCGTGGGATGCTGGGGATTGAGCCCAGGTTGACTGTGTGCAAGGCAAGTGCCCTACCCACTGTACTATCTCTCCAGCACCTCAACAGTAGGTTGTTTGGGGACATCCTCATGCAATGAAAGAAGCACAGATCTCCATTTGACCTTATCTGAACTTTAAAAAAAAATTTTTTGGGGGGGGTCATACCCGGTGATGCTGAGGGCTTACTCCTGGTTTTGCATTCAGGAATCACTCCTGGTGGTGCTCAGGGGACCATATGGGATGCTGGGAATAGAACCCGGGTCAGTCGCGTGCAAGGCAAATGCCTAGCCGCTGTGCTATTGCTCCAGCCCCTTTATTTATATTTATTTATTTATTTATTTATTTATTTATTTTTTGCTTTTTGGATCATACCCGGTGATGCACAGGGGTTACTCCTGGCTCTGCACTCAGGAGTTACTCCTGGTGGTGCTCAGGGGACCATATGGGATGCTGGGAATCAAACCCGGGTCGGCCGCGTGCAAGGCAAACGCCCTGCCCGCTGTGCTATCTCTCCAGCCCCCTCTCCAGCCCCTTTAAAAAAAATTTTTTTTTTAATTTTAAAGCAAGGGACCAGAGCAGTAGTACAGTGGAAGGGTGTCTGCCTTGCATGCAGCAGTCCTGGGTTCCATCTCATATCCCATATGGTCACCCGAGCCCACCAGGAGTGATTCCTGAGTGCAAAGCCAGGAGTAACCCCTGAGCATCACTGGGTGTGACTCCCCCCAAATTTTAAAGCATATATTCTATCGAAATAAAATAAGTGAAACATACAGGGAACTGCTTGTGAAATGAGGTGCCTTTGTGAGTGTGCAAATTCTGATTTCCAGGGGATCATGCAGGTCTCCTGAAGATGAATTAAAAATGGGATAAAAGGGGCTGGAGAAATAGCACAGCGGGTAGGGCGTTTGCCTTGCACACAGCCGACCCAGGTTCGATTCCCAGCATCCCATATGGTTCCTTGAGCACTGCCAGTAGTGATTCCTGAGTGCAAAGCCAGGAGTAAACCCTGTGCATTGCCAGGTGTGACCCAAAAAATTGAAAGAAAAAAAAAGGGATAAAAATCTATCCATTTCAAGGAACTAGAATGATAGTGCAGAAGAGAGTGCGCTTGCCTTACATGTGACCAAAATGGGTTTGATCCCTGGCATCCCAGATGGTCCCCCGACACCGCCAGGAGTGATTCCTGAGTGCATAGCCAGGAGTGACCTCCGAGCATGTGCGGTGTGGGTCGAAAACAAAACAAAAACAGTCATTTTCTGAGGGAGAAGACAGAGGGCTGCAGAGGGTCCTCCAAGCCCCTCCAGGAGCAATACCTAACCACAGAGCCAGGAGGAAGGCCTGAGCACCACTGGGTGTGGCCCCAAAGCAAAAAAAAAAAACAAAAAACTGCTTTGCATGTGTGAGGCCTGGAGTTTGCTCCCTAGTATCACAAAAATAAACAAATCCCCAAAGAACTGACCTTATCTGCAATTAGGGTCACCTATTAAAGTCGTCTGGAAACTCCTGGAATTTTCGGCTGGAGAGCTAGTACAACATGTAGGGCGCTTGCCTTGCTTACGAGTTATGAGTTTGAGTTTGATCCCATATGATCCCCCGAGAATTGCCAGGAGTGATTCCTGAGCAAGGAGCCAGGACTATGCCCTGAGCATCACCCACTGTGGCCCCAAAACAAAAAATATGAATAGTCACCACCACAAAACGCCTAGCAATTACATTTAGCAGAGTTACAGGGTAAAAGACAAATATTTAAACATTCATTTTCTGTTGAGAAGATAAATATTTAAAAATTCCTTTTCTGTCACTATCCTAACAGTAAACATGTGGACGCTGAAATGAAACGTATACTTCTATTTAACCGGAACCAGAGTGACAGTATAGCGGGTAAGGCACTTCCTCGTACACAGCTGACGAGGGTTCGATCCCCAACGCCCCATAGGATCCACTAAGCCCACCAAGAGTGATCCTTGAGCATAGTGCCAGGAGTAAGCCCTGAGCACTGCCAGATGTGATCCCTAAAACCAAAACTCCCCAGAATTCATCCAGTTCTCGGTATCACCACTCAAAATTACTTGGTCGATCCAAGGCATCTCATCTCTGGGTGCTGTTGTCAGCTCTGCTGGCTCTTAACAGCATGAGTTTCTGGTTTGAAAAGTGCATTGCCTGGGGCCTGAGCAGTAGTTCCGTGGGGAGGACCACTAGCCTTGCATATGGCAGACTGAGTGTGATCTCTGACATCCCATACGGTCCCCCAGTACCGCCAGGAGTAATTTCTTTGTGCAGAAACCAGGAGTAAGCCCTGAGCATCACTAGATGTGACTCAAACAAAAAAAAAAAAAGGAGAAAGTACATTTCCTGTCCAAGGAGATTCCAGAGATCCTAGAGACCTAAGCCAGCACTTGAAGTCCACTGAGGCACCAACAGAAAGTGGGGGGACCCACGGGGGAAGCAGTTTCCAAGCTCTCCAGCCCCCACCTCATATTTACTTACTTTAAGTTTTTCATGCCGAATTTCTTTTGACAAACTCTTCAAGGTTTTCAGCTGCTCCTGCAGGTCTGCGGGGATGCTCTTTTGAACTAGAGAGAACAGAAATCTACTCAGAAGGTCTAGGTTTCCAATGGGGTCCCAATCCCACTTGAGGCAGTGGGGGGGGATTTGTTTGGCATTTGGAGGGGCCACACCTGACGGTACTCAGGAACCACTTCTGGCAGTGCTGGGACCAGAGATGGGACATGGGTTAGCCACGTGCAAGGCAATGAATGCTCCGCTCCAGTCTCCTTTGATTGCCACGGTGAGGCTACCAAGAACACAAGACCTTTTTTGCTTTGTTTTTGTTGGGGGCTTCGGCTGGCAGTTTGTAGGGCTTACTCCTCAGGGTTCTGGGTTCAGCTGACAGGGCTCAGGGCATCCTGTGGGGTGTTGGGGACCAAACCTGGGTCAGTTGCTTATAGGACAAGCTCCTTCCTCACTATACTGTTTCTCTGGCTCCCAACCTGAAAGTTGTTTTGTGTTTTGTGTCGTTCCCTGGCACTGCTCAGGGATTACTCCTGGATAAATGTTTTTGCCTGCTATATTATTTCTCTGAACCCAGCCTAAAATTTTTACTTGAAGCTAGAGAGATGGTACAGTGGGTAGGGTGCTTACCTTGCATATGGCCAACCTGGGTTCAATCCCCAGTATCCCCTAGGGTCCCCTGAGACCCATCAACAGTGATCCATGAGAACAGAGCCAGGAGTAAACCCTGAGCACTGCTGGGTGTGTTCCAAAAACAAAAGTCTTATCCTCTGGGCTTAGAGTTTTAATGGGAAAAGCTTAGTCTTCAAAATGCTGTCTCCCCAGGGTCATAGCCAGAGCACAGCCAGCAGGGCACTTGCCTCACAGGTGACCAACTGGGTTCAATCCCTAGCATGCCGGGTGTGGCCCTCAAACCAACCAAATGCCATCTCCTCATTCCCGCAATGCTGACACCTTCTTGTGCCCAACAGTTTCCCCAGTTGTCCTCCAGAGTGTGATCAAAACATCAGAAATGGGAGGCTGGAGCGATCACACAGCGGGGAGGGTGCTTGCCTTGCACGCAGCCAAGCCGGGTTTTCGATGCCTGGTATCCCATATGGTCACTGAGCACCACCAGGAGTAGCCCCTGAGCACTGCCAGGTGTGACCCAACAACAACAACAAAAAAGTGAGGGCAGGAGTCATTTCTGAGTGAAGAGCCAGGAGTATCCCCTGAGCATTGCTGGCTGTGGCAAAAAACACATTAGAACTGAGGCTGGAGAGAGAGAACAGCAGGGAGGGCATTTACCTTGCACTTGGCCAACCTGAGTTCAATCCCTGGCACCCCACAGGTCCCCCAAACACCGCCAGGAGTGATTCCTAGTGCAGAGTCAGGAGTAGCCCCTGAGCATCGCTGGGTGTGACCCCCCCCCCCACACACAAAAAAAACATCGGAACTGCCTCCTACCTCTTCTGAGCTGGTTTAATTCCAGCTTTAAACTATGAAGGCTGGGCTGGAGCAATAGCACAGTGGATAGGGCGTTTGCCTTGCACGCGGCCAACCCGGGTTTGATTCCCAGCATCCCATATGGTCCCCTGAGCACCACCAGGGGTAATTCCTGAGTGCAGAGCCAGGAGTAACCCTTGCACATTGCCAGATGTGATCCAAAAAGCCAAAATAAACTATGAAGGCTAGGGAAGAATCCAGAATGACTAAGAAGAATAGATCAGAGAGAGAGCTAGGAGGGCTGAGTGCAGGCTCTCTATGTGGGATGCCTGAGTTTGATCCCCAGCACCACAGAGGCCCCTGAGCACTGCTGATATGGTCCCCAAACAAAAGGGCTGCTAGAATGGGTATGTTAATCTCAAGGATCCAGGAAGAAGCCCAGCTGCCAGAAGGCGAGACCAGGGGGAGAAAAATTGACTCAGGGGCATCAGGGATGTAGCTAAGCACTGTCCTTACATGGTGAGATCCTGGGTTTAATTCTGGAGGAGGAGGGAGATGGGAGGATAGATAAGAGGAAGAAATAGAGGGAAGAGGGAAGAAAAGAGGAAGAGGAGGAAGAAGAAATCAGCTTGGCACGAATGAGCCAGAGTGATGACGCAGAAGATTGAGCCCGTGTCTTGTCATGCTTGAGGCTTAGGACTCTGTTCCCAGCCCTGCATCCTCCACCCTCAGCCCTGGGCACTGCCAGGTGTGACTATACCAGCAGGTGAGTGCCAGGCGTGCAGAGGCCGTGGGAACCCTGAATACTGCTGGCAAGCACAGCGCAGACTGCAGCTCTGCCCCTTACTGTGGGCACGCACCCATCCGCTCCAGCAGGTACTGGATTTTATCCAACTCCGTCTCGCCAGCTCTCTCATCCAGATCCTTCATTTTCTCCTTCAGCTCCGTGTAGAGGCCAACGATCTCGCCCATGGTACGGAATGTTTCCACAGCGATAGGGAAGTTTGGCTCCAACTTTTCCAGTGACTCGCGTCTCTCCTGACGTGCATCAGCTGAGACTTGGGAGGTGCGTCTCAGGCTGTCAGTGCTCTTGTGCGGGCTAAGAAGTCCAGATCGAGATGGGGTCAAGTGTACCTGGCTAGGGTGACCTACACCTGCAGTCCTGTGGGTCCCTGGCTCTGCACTGGGGGACCTAGAACCCACACGTGTCTTTGAAGTGTGGGCTTTTGGCTTTTCAGTGTCAAGACCCTCTTGGCCAATACTAGACTCTAGCAAACGAGGTTCTCTGCCAGGAACATCCCTGCTATAAGATGGACGGGATGGCATCCGGCCTCGAAACTCTGGCCGTTCTGGGAATCCACCAACTCCCACGTCTTCAGCTCTTCTGTCTTGTTGATCCATGCCATGGGGATGGGCCCCCAACTGGACGAGACCAGGTGGATAGGCACCAGGCTGGCCAGGACCAGGTGGATAGTCTCCCGGTCGGCCCAGACCAGGTGGATAGGCGCCTGCTGGACCCAGACCAGGTGGATAGTCTCCCGGTGGGCCCAGACCAAAAGGATAGGCACCCGGTGGGCCCAGACCAGGTGGATAGGCACCAGGTGGGCCCAGACCAGGTGGATAGACACCAGGTGGGCCAAGATCACGTGGATAGGTGCCCGGTGGGCCCAGACCAGGTGGATAGGTACCCGGTGGGCCCAGGTCACGTGGATACGCTCCTGGTGGGCCCAGACCAGGTGGATAGGTACCCGGTGGGCCCAGGTCACGTGGATACGCTCCTGGTGGGCCCAGACCAGGTGGATAGGTACCCGGTGGGCCCAGCTCACGTGGAGAGACTCCTGGTGGGCCAAGGCCAGGTCTAACTCTAGCAGGTCGAATACCACCATATGAATCGGGGCCAAGCTGTACTGCCCCAGGTGGACCCTCTTCCGGCTGCACCAAATGTTCAACTGCTCCAGGTTGGGCAGTACCAGGTCTGACCAAATCAGTTAGATCCATTTCTGGTGGAACTGAGCCTTGTTGATCCATTTCAGGTTGTACCAAACCAGACTGATCCGTGCCAGGAGGTGGATATGCACCATCTTGGACCAAGTCAGGCTGGCCCGTCCCAGGTGGCACTGAACCAGGTAAATAAGCACCAGACTGGTCCATAGCAGCTTGACCTGTGCTGGCATCAATGAGACCAGGCTGCTTTACTTCAGGCTTTCTTATGCCAGGAGGGACCATACCAGGTGGGACCATGCCAGGCCGCCAAAGGCCATAAGGTTGGGCCATGCCAGGTGGGACCATACTAGGCGGGATCATGCCAGGCGGGGGGACCATACCAGGAGGGACCATGCCAAGCTGCCCCATGCCAGGCTGTCTCAGGCCAGGCTGGGTGACACCAGGAGGGATCATACCAGGTGGAACCATGCCAGGCTGCCCTACGCCAGGTTGAACCATGCCAGGAGAGACCGTGCGGGGCTGCCCCACACTGGGCTGTCTCAGGCCAGGTGGGGCCATGCCAAGAGGGACCATACCAGGCGGGCCCACGCCCGGCTGTCCTAGGACAGGTTGGACCATGCGGGGCTGCCCCATGCTGGGCTGTCTCAGGCCAGGCGGGACCACACCAGGAGGGACCATACCAGGTGGGACTACACCGGGCTGCACTAGGCCAGGTTGAACCATACCAGGAGGGACCATACCGGGCTGCCCTAAACCAGGTTGACCCATGCGAGGCTGCCCCATGCTGGGCTGTCTCAGGCCAGGCTGGACTACACCAGGAGGGACCATACCAGGTGGGACTACACCGGGCTGCCCTAGGCCGGGTTGAAACATGCCAGGAGGGACCATACCAGGCGGGACCATACCAGGCTGCCCTAGGCCAGGTTGAACCATGCCAGGAGGGACCGTACCAGGGGGGACCGCGCCGGGCTGCCCTAGGCCAGGTTGAACCATGCCAGGAGGGACCATACCAGGCGGGACCGCGCCAGGCTGCCCTAGGCCAGGTTGAACCATGCCAGGAGGGACCATACCAGGCGGGACCGCGCCGGGCTGCCCTAGGCCAGGTTGAACCATGCCAGGAGGGACCATACCAGGCGGGACCGCGCCGGGCTGCCCTAGGCCAGGTTGAACCATGCCAGGAGGGACCATACCAGGCGGGACCGCGCCGGGCTGCCCTAGGCCAGGTTGAACCATGTGGGGTTGCTCCACACTGGGATGCCCCACGCCAGGCTGGGCCAAACCAGGCTGCCCCATGGTTGGTGGGACTATGCCAGGCTGCCCCATGTCAGGTTGCCCCATGCCAGGCTGCCCTATGCCAGGTTGCCCCTCGCTGGGCTGGGCCACGCCGGGTTGAGTCACACTGGGTTGGGCAATGCCAGGCTGCCCCATGCCAGGTGGAACACTGTCAGGCTGTTCCACGCCAGGCTGCCCCACGCCGGGCTGCCCCACGCCGGGCTGCCCCATGCCAGGTGGGACCATGCTGGGCTGCCCCATGCCAGGTGGGACCATGCTGGGCTGGACCATGCCAGGTGGGACTATGCCAGGCTGCCCGACACCGGATTCGATCACGCCAGCCTGCCCTAGGCCAGGCTGGCCCACACCAGGTTGACCCACCCCAGGTTGGCCCATGCCGGGCTGCCCCACACTGGGCTGTCCCACGCCAGGCTGGCCCACGCCGGGCTGGACCACGCCGGGCTGGCCCACACCAGGCTGGCCCACGCCGGGCTGCCCCATGCCGGGCTGGACCACACCGGGCTGGCCCATGCCAGGCTGAACCACACTGCCTACGTCAGGTTGAACCACGCCGGGCTGCCCCACACCAGGCTGGACCATGCCAGGCTGCCCCATGCCGGGCTGGCCCACGCTGGGCTGCCCCATGCCGGGCTGCCCCATGCCAGGCTGGCCCACGCCAGGCTGGACCACACCACCTACGCCAGGTTGGACCACGCTGGGCTGCCCCACACCAGGCTGGACCATGCCAGGCTGCCCCACGCCGGGCTGGCCCACGCCGGGCTGCCCCATGCCGGGCTGCCCCATGCCAGGCTGGCCCACGCCAGGCTGGACCACACCGCCTACGCCAGGTTGAACCACGCCGGGCTGCCCCACACCAGGCTGGACCATGCCAGGCTGCCCCACGCTGGGCTGGCCCACGCCGGACTGCCCCATGCCGGACTGCCCCATGCCGGGCTGGCCCACGCCGGGCTGGCCCACGCCAGGCTGGACCACGCCGGGCTGCCCCATGCCGGGCTGGACCATGCCAGGCTGCCCCACGCCGGGCTGGCCCACACCAGGCTGGACCACGCCGGGCTGCCCCATGCCGGGCTGGACCATGCCAGGCTGCCCCACGCCGGGCTGGCCCACACCAGGCTGGACCACACCGCCTACACCAGGTTGGACCACACCGGGCTGCCCCATGCCGGGCTGCCCCATGCCAGGCTGGACCACACCGCCTACGCCAGGTTGGACCACGCTGGGCTGCCCCACACCAGGCTGGACCATGCCAGGCTGCCCCACGCTGGGCTGGCCCACGCCGGACTGCCCCATGCCGGGCTGGCCCACACCGGGCTGGCCCACGCCAGGCTGGACCACGCCGGGCTGCCCCATGCCGGGCTGGCCCACACCAGGCTGCCCCACGCCGGGCTGGCCCACACCAGGCTGGACCACACCGCCTACACCAGGTTGGACCACACCGGGTGACCCCATCCCGGGCTGCCCCACACCGGGCTGCCCCACGCCGGGCTGGACCACACCGCCTACACCAGGTTGGACCACGCTGGGCTGCCCCATGCTGGGTTGGACCATGCCAGGCTGCCCCACGCCGGGCTGGCCCACACCAGGCTGGACCACACCGCCTACACCAGGTTGGACCACACCGGGTTGGCCCACGCCGGGCTGCCCCATGCCGGGCTGCCCCATACCGGGCTGCCCCATGCCAGACTGGAACAAACTAGGCTGACCTACACCAGGCTGAACCAACCCTGGTGGGTAGGTACTAGGCTGGCTCCAACCATATGGGTAAGCACCAACCTGCCCCACGATGGGTTGAGCCACGCCCACCTGCCCCGGGACAGGCTGAGCCATATCAACCAGCCCCACGCCAGGCTGGCCCACACCTACTGACCCCATGCCAGGCTGGCCCATGCCAGGCTGGCCCACGCCCACCTGCCCCATGCCGGGTTGGCCCACGCCCACCTGCCCCACGCCGGGCTGGCCCACGCCCACCTGCCCCACGCCGGGCTGGCCCACGCCCACCTGCCCCACGCCGGGCTGGCCCACGCCCACCTGCCCCACACCGGGTTGGCCCACACCCATCTGCCCCATGCCCACCTGCCCCACACCAACCTGGCCCACGCCCACCTGCCCCAGGCCCACCTGCCCCATGCCGGGCTGGCCCACGCCCACCTGCCCCACGCCCACCTGCCCCACGCCGGGTTGGCCCACGCCCATCTGCCCCACGCCGGGTTGGCCCACGCCCACCTGCCCCACGCTGGGTTGGCCCACGCCCATCTGCCCCATGCCCACCTGCCCCACGCCGGGCTGGCCCACGCCGGGCTGGCCCACGCCCACCTGCCCCACACCGGGCTGGCCCACGCCCACCTGCCCCACGCCGGGCTGGCCCACGCCCACCTGCCCCACGCCGGGCTGGCCCACGCCCACCTGCCCCACGCCGGGTTGGCCCACGCCCACCTGCCCCACGCCGGGTTGGCCCACGCCCACCTGCCCCACGCCGGGTTGGCCCACGCCGGGTTGGCCCACGCCCATCTGCCCCATGCCCACCTGCCCCACGCCAACCTGGCCCATGCCCACCTGCCCCATGCCCACCTGCCCCATGCCGGGCTGGCTTACGCCCACCTGCCCCACACCGGGCTGGCCCACGCCCACCTGCCCCATGCCGGGCTGGCCCACGCCCACCTGCCCCATGCCCACCTGCCCCACGCCCACCTGCCCCATGCCAGGCTGGCCCATGCCCGCCTGCCCCACACCAACCTGGCCCACGCCCACCTGCCCCATGCCGGGCTGGCCCACGCCCACTTGCCCCACGCCCACCTGCCCCATGCCAGGCTGGCCCATGCCCGCCTGCCCCACACCAACCTGGCCTACGCCCACCTGCCCCACGCCGGGCTGGCCCACGCCCACCTGTTCCACTCCGGGTTGGCCCACTCCCATCTGCCCCATGCCCACCTGCCCCATGCCGGGCTGGCCCACGCCCACCTGCCCCACCCCCACCGGCCCCACTCCGGGCTGGCCCATGCCGGGCTGGCCCATGCCCACCTGCCCCAAACTGGGTTGGCCGATGCCCACCTGCCCCACACCAACCTGGCCTACACCCACCTGGCCCATGCCCACCTGCCCCACGCCGGGCTGGCCCACACCCACCTGCCCCACACCAGGTTGGCCCACGCCTACCTGCCCCATGCCAACCTGACCCTTGCCCACCTGCCCTGCGCCGGGCTGGCCCACGCCCACCTGCCCCAAACTGGGCTGGCCGATGCCCACCTGCCCTATGCCAACCTGGCCAACACCCACCTGCCCCATTCCAGGCTGGCCCACGCCCACCTGCCCCATGCCAACCTGGCCAACACCCACCTGCCCCACGCCGGGTTGGCCCACGCCCACCTGCCCCATGCTGGGCTGGCCAACACCCACCTGCCCCACACCAACCTGTCCTATGCTGGGCTGGGCCATCCCACCCTGCCCCACACCGAGCGGGCCCGTACCCACCTGCCTCGTGCTGGGTGGGCCCACACCCACCTGCCCCACACCTGGCTGGGCCGCACCCACCTGCCCCACACCTGGCTGGGCCGCACCCACCTGCCCCATGCTAGGCTGAACCATAATAGGCTGGCCCCAACCAGGCTGAACTGCATTAATGCCTGTGGCAGATGGGATGAGGCCAGCAATTCCCAATCCCGGCTGAGCCACGCCTTGCGAGCGCTCGGCAATCTCCACCAAACTAGGGGAAATGACGACATGCTCGTCTGCGAGAGGGGCAACCGTCCCAAACTGGTCCACCCCAGGCAGTCCCCATCGCTCAGGGCCCAGACCATATCCAAGTCCCCGCGGATCTGCTCCCAGGGGGGCCTGACCAGGCTGCTCAGGACTGGGCAGCTGAAACATTTGCTGTTGTCTGCTTGCTGGCAAAGGTGGCACCCCGAGCTGGCTCATGGCCTGTGGGGCCAATCCCTGCTCAGCCATCCCCAGGCTGGGCATCACGCGCTGCTGAGCGATGCCCATGGGCATCAGGCCTTGCTGGTAGTAGGTGGCCTGGATCCGCGACAGCTCCTCCGGGGAGAGGGACATTAGTCTGGGGTCTTCTGGGAAGGCTCTGTACGGCTGCATGTGGGCCATGGAGGGTCTACCAGGCGGCGAGATGCCTAGGCTGGGGACCTGGTCCTGCTCCCCCATCATTTTCTGCTTGGGCTTGCGGTGATCTGAATCCTTCTTCAACTGGGAGACAGCTGGGGCCTGGGCCCTGGCACCTTCAGGGGCAGGCATGATGAAGTCTCTGCCTCTACGTTGCTGGTCTTCCTTGGTGACACCATAGTCGAGCAGCTGGTCCATGCCCATGTGCCTGGAGATACCGCTGGTACTCAGCACTGCCTCTCTGGACTTACTAGGTTCTACAGCTGTTTCCTCTCCTTCCTGCCAAGGAGACAAGATATGAGTCCCGGTCCATCACTGGGAGTGGGGTGGGGGTGGGCGGGAATGGAGGTGATGTGCTTTGGAACCCTCTGGAGAAACAAGACCCTCTGGTTCATAACACCAAGCACAGAATGGGGTTCCCCATCAGGAGAACCTCAGAGAAGTAAAAGAAATCATCTGTGATCTGATCACAGTTAGGGCATGACAAATTCTGACTCTGTGTGTGTGTGTGTGTGTGTGTGTGTGTGTGTGTGTGTGTGTGTGTGTGTGTTTGCGGGGCTGGGGTTTGAACCCAGGTCCCAAGCGAGGAAGTGCAGGACTGACTCAGCTCCGGGAGACCTTTTCCTCGGAAGAGACAAGCCCTAAGCTCAGGGCAGCTGCAAACTGGAGATGGACGCCTGCCACACACTGTCCCACAGAGACAGGCCTGACACCACCTTCAGGGCACAGTGGCTGTGCAGGAGCTGAGTGGCACCACGTAGGGCCTCCCTACTTTGGGTTTTGATTTTATTGATTGACTGATTTTTGAGCTACACTTGGCAATGCTCGGGGCTGACTCCTGCCTCTGCGCTCAGGAATTACTTCTAGGGGTGCTTGGGGGAACTGAATGGGGGGCCGAGGATCGAACCTTGGTCTGTCTCACGGCAGTCAAGTGTCTTTCCTGTTGTACTAGCTCTCTGGCACTATGATTTTTTTTCTTTCTTTTTGGGTCACATCCAGCGATGGTCAGGGGTTACTCCTGGCTCATGCACTCAGGAATTACTCCTGGCGGTGCTTGGGGGACCATATGGGATGCTGGGAATTGAACCTGGGTCGGCCAATGTTGGCTGCGTGCAAGGCAAACGCCCTACCCGCTGTGCTATCGCTCCAGCCCCTGATTTTGTTATTTAAAGGGATATTCAGGGCCGGGTGGAAGGCTTGAAGGGTTGGAGCACATGCCTTGCTTTTCAAGGTCCCCCCAGCAAAGACCTGAACTGTAGGCTATCAACAGCCGGGCAACTATTACCAGGAGGGGCCTGAGGGCTTCTGGAAGGCCAAAAGCAAAGAAGAGGTAAAAACTATACTCAGACAGGGGTTATGACTCCAGCTGTTGAGAGATGCTTACCGTGTGAGGCCCTGGGCTGGGCTCCCCCCCACCCCCCCCATGTCATATCCCAATGAAATATCCCAATGAAACAAACAGCAAAGCAGCTCCTGCCCTGAGTGCCTCGCCAGGCTCAGCTCAATCTGACCACCAGGGGGCAGCACCCACACAGCCTTGAGCCTCTCACCTGTGCCCTAGAAAGGCCTCCGGACTCAGAATCAATCAGGCAAACAGAACAAAGGGGAGGAGGAAGCTGACGCCCCAGACAGCCTTAGAAAGAGGACAGTTGGTTTTTGTTGTTGTTGTTTTTTGCTTCTTGAGTCATACGCGGTGATGCTCAGGGATCACTCCTGGGCATGCTCAGGGAACCATTCCGGATGCCGAGGATCGAACCTGGGTAGGCCGTGTGCAAGGCAAGCACCCTATCTGTTGTACTATTGCTCCACTCGCAGTTTTTCATTTGCTTATTTTATTGCCCAACGTACTCAGGGGCCCCTCTAGGAAACCAGGGATACAACTGTGGTTGGCCATGTGCAAGCAAATACCTTTTCCCCAGTATAATCTCTTCAGCCCCATGAAAAGTGAAATCATATCCACATACAAGGCAAGTACCTTACACACTGCATTATCTCTTGTTCTTCAGTTCTTGTTTTTGGGCCACACCTGGCAGTGCTCAGGGGTTACTTCTGGCTCTGTGCTAAGTGATCACTTCTAACATGCTCAGGGAACCATAAAGGATGCTGGGGATAGAACCTGGGTCGGCTGCATGCAAGGCAAGCACCCTACCTGCTGTACTATGGCTCTGCCTGGCCCCAACCCCACTTGACTCTCTCTTCGGCCCCCAAAATGGGCCCTTTTAAAACCACTGCAAAGGGGCTGGAGTGATAGCACAGCGGGTAGGGCGTTTGCCATGCACGCGGCCGACCCGGGTTCAATTCCCAGCATCCCATATGGCCCCCTGAGCACCGCCAGGAGTAATTCCTGAGTGCAGAGCCAGGAGTGACCCCTGTGCATTGCCAGCTGTGACCCAAAAAGAAAAAAAAAACACTGCAAGTCCCGACAGTCCTGAGACCACTGCACGGTTATTTGTCCAGGAGATGCCTAAGTCCAGCCCGTGTCCAGCCCCGATTCAGTGAGGGAAGACTCAGCCAGACTTAGTAAGCCTTGTAGGCGGAAGCAGAAGCAGTTCCTGCGTTCACACTGATACAGAGTGGCCAACCAATCCCCCAGCAGCTGTGTCCTAGGCTCACTCACACAAACCCGCCGGCACGAAGCAGGCACAAGAGTGCCCTGGCTAGGGGGAGACCAGAAGGATGCTGTGGGAAGCAGGGCAGGGACAGGGTTTGGGGAGGGGTCCAGGGTGATGGTGCAGTGGCTCTTGCCTCTCACGTGGCTGACTGCGTTCAAGACAAGCGCCTAACCTGCTGTCTACCGCTCTTGCCCCAAAACTCTCATTTCTTTTCTGGTGGTGGTGGGGTGCCAGGAATCACACCCAGACCCCTGTGAGGCAACACCCCACTGTGGGCCCCCGCAGGACCCTCCTTTAGTTCCTGCTTTCCCCTTCAGCTCACGGCTCCCGGGATTTGAAGAAACAATGCCTTGTATTGAGGGTGAGCTGTTTCTGCAAGAGAACACGTGCTTGAGGACCGTGAACCTAGTCACGAGGTCACTGCAACACTCCTGACCATACCCCCTGCCACAGAGCGCCGGCTGTCATGCCTCGGGCCACATGAAAACACCAAACTTCTGATGGCAGAAGGCTGGGGGTTCAGAGCCCTGGCCAGTCTTGCCCTATTCCAGGCTTTCGAGTGTCGGCTTCCAGCCATGGGCCCCATGGCCAGGCTTACCAACCCCTGGCCCAAGAGGGGCAGTGCAGTCTTGTCAAGGACCGGGCTGACCAGGGCAATGCCCACTGCACTCATGCAGTTCCACCTAACCGGGGCTGTTCTCTAAACGTTCAGGCGCTACCCAGCTGGGGGGGGGGGCGGTGTCTCCCCGAAGCTACTTCCTGGAGGGCTTTGGTGAAAGTGGGCCAATCCTTCATGCATTCCCACTTTCAGAGTTCTGCCCTGCAAGTGGGCACCCCTGTGAAGTGTCACGGCGGAGCCTGACACGGCTCTTCCGGCACCCACTGGGAGCTGCCCCACAGTGAAAGGGGTTTGGGGAAGCCCACACAGCCCCCAGGCCCCTGTGCTCACCCCAAGGGGTGTAATGGCTACTTGGGAGAGCCTCCAGCCGTCGGTGATGGCGTGCTCCAGATCCTCCCAGGTTACCATGGTGACTTCATCCCCCATAGGCATCACACTCAGCTTCCGGTCCATGGCATCCTAAAGGGACAGATATGTGCATATGGGTTCACATATGCACGCACATGGGTTCACACACATGGACACGGGTTCACACATTCGGGTTACAAATGCACACAACGGGGTTCATACATGGGTTCACACACACAAATGGGTTCACACAAGATCACACACATACAGAGGTTCACATATACAAGTTCAGAGTGTCACATACAAATGGGTTCACACACACATATACAGGTTCACACACATGGGTTTCTACATGGGTTCACACACGCACGCGTGAGTTCACACATCCAGAAGTTCACACACATACAAAGGTGTTCACACACAGGTTCACACAATGGGTTCACACACATATACACAGGTGCTCACCCATGGGCTCACATATGGGCTCACACATGTACAGAGATTCAAACAGAGGTTCACACATACACAGCTTCACATAGGGGTCACACAAGTTCACGCATGGGCTCATACACACAGTTCAGTGCCTGGGAGTGACTTGCAGCCCTTCTAAAGTGTCCTGGGAGCGGCTTTCCAGTCCCCTGTGAGCCCCCCTAGGACCCCGTGAGGGAGGCAAAGAATCTCCCCTTAATCCAGAATCCAGGAGCAGTATCCCCAGAAGCGGAGGGCACCCCACACTGGAGTGACGCGGGAATACACACAAGCCTCGAGGGAGACCATCCCCGCCTCCCCTGCACCAGCGGCCCTGCCCCCAGAGCTGCCTCAGTTACCAGGAAACCATCGCGCTCGTGGATCAACTTCTCCAGCTCGTCCACCCGCTGGATGATTTTCTGGAAGAATTCAGAGATGAGGAGTCAAAGCAGCCCTGCCGGGTGAAACTTACGCACACACACACACACACACACACACAAACACACACACACACCACAATGCACACACCTGCTCATACATGAACACACTCACAACACTCACAGCCAGCCATACAAACATGACTGTTGACACATTCTCACCCACACGGATGCACACACACCTGCTCATACACTCACAACACTCACAGTCACATACGAACACACGAATGCACACACACCTGCTCACACATCCGCACAACCTCCTCATACTCAGAGGCTCACCCCTGCACACACACACACACACACACACACATACATACACACAAACACACACACTCATGTGTACACTCGCATCCTCCCACACACCCTTCCGGACAGGAAAGGAGCAGGACCAAGTGGACAGCAGTGCGGAGAGAGGGCCGGTGCTTGGGGCCGGGAGCCAGAAGCAGCGGCACATGGGACATGTGCGAGCACGTGTGAGCTCAGGCCAGAGCCTGGCCCCGGACCCCTGTAGCCTGGCAGAGACAGACATTGTTGGGATTTCCAGGGCATCTGAATGTCGGTACAGCCTGGGCCACAGTGCACACTTCACACGTGTGAGGGTCAGGCTCTACCTAGCCCACACTACACACACCCACCATCATTGCTGGAAGAGCCCCCCCAGCCAGCCGCTCTCCAGAACTAGCCTCTGAATGGCTAAAAATTAAAACCAGGAAGAAAAATAAGAGGGGATCAGCAAGAGCACTGTGCTTAAGGTGTTGACTTTGCATGCAGCTGAGCTGGGTTCGATCCCTGGCACCACACATGGTCTCCTGAGTGTAGGATGACATTGGTTTGTGCGCTGGAGCGAGAGCACAGCGGGCAGCGCGTTTGCCTTGCACGCGGCTGACCCAGGTGCGATTCCTCCGCCCTTCTCGAAGAGCCAGGCAAGCTACCGAGAGTATCTCGCCCTCACAGCAAAGCCTGGCAAGCTCCCCGTGACGTATTTGATATGCCAAACACATTAACAACAAGTCTCACAATGGAGATGTTACTGGGCCCGCTCGAGCAAATTGATGAGCAGTGGGAGGACAGTGATGGAGACAGTGACAGTTTCTGCCTTGTCACGGGAAGCTTAGGTTTATTGGGTTACTCCCATCACAATGCTCCCATTCCTCTGTGTTTATTTGTAACCTCTTTCTTTGTGCTTTGTTAACCTGTAAATATTGCTTTTCTCTTCTCCTCAAGTACTTTACATACTTAATTTAGAGCAATATCCTTTTTGTATAGACACAGGAAGACAGTTAATGCTATGCTTTGGTAACTTAGGAATTAAATGACTCCGAATGATATTCACCCCTGGGCATCTATTCTCTCAACTTAAGCCTCAGTTGCCCTTACTTCCTAGCACCCCCAAAGCAGGATCGCGATGGGGACTGGATGGACCCAGGGCAAGCAGAGAGCTTCCCTGGCACTGAAATGGGACTGACTAAAAAGCCATAATACTTAACTATAAGTTAAGAGCATGGTCATGGACAAATTCTGTCATGATCCAAAAAGTAACATCTAGATTAGGACCCTGCTAGAGTTAGGAAAGATTTATCTGGCCTGAGCACTGTAATCTGAAATCTATAGTGAGATGTTCCCAGGAGAGCCACCCTACAAGATCAATGTATCTCTTACTGTGTTCATACAAAATAACTAATATTAAGAAATAATTAGGATGTTAATTAAGATGTTAAGTTATTGGACTAAGGAGAAGAGAAACACCCCTAGGCGGTATTTCCCTCCCTTGTGCCTGATTGGAACAGGAAGGACTTTTTTTTTTATGTAGGAGTACTGCTATTTATTCAGCCACTGATTAGCTGATTGAATTGTGCATAAACTCCACCTTACTTTTTTTTTCATTTTTTATAATTTTATTTATTGAATCACCGTGAGAGCAGTTACAAAGCTTTCGGGTCTAAGTCTCGGTCATACAGTGAAACACCTGTACCTTCACCAGTACCCATTCTCCACCCCCAACAACCCCAGTACACCCCCATCCCACACCCTCCCCCTACTTGTGGGGCAGATGATTTACACATTACTCTCTCTCTACTTTGATCACATTCAATATTTTGACAACACACACACCATTATTATTTGAGATTTTACCACAACACTCAGATCTGCTGAAAAGGCAACCGTAGACAATTTGTTTTCTATTGCTGGTTATAAATAACATATGATGTCGTGTGGCTGCAGTAGTGGCCGTGCGATTTTGAAATTCCAAAATTTTAACAATTAAATCTGGAGGGATTTCTGTCAAAGCCTGCTGGGTTCTGAGATTTGCTCCTGAGTCTCTGGGATCATGGCTGTTAAGAAGCTTGATCAGGAGCCAGAAAGGCCATTCGTGAGCGATGACTTGGGGTCTCGTTGGGGTGAGGAGGACAGGACTGGCTCCACCCCCATCCTGTGAGGCCCTGCATGTCTCATCACTGCGGGCCCAAACCTGACTGTCCAATGGCCTCTGGAGGATGATGGCCACAGAGCTGCCAGGGGGAAGCAGGTGGAGGGACAACACCCTTTCCCCCCTGGGGGAGGGGCCAGCGACAGTAACCTACTGTGGGGTCTGAACGCATTTCTGCCAAAAGCCACTGGGTTTCGAGATTTGTTTCTGAGTCTCTGGGATCATGGCCGTTAAGCAGCTTGATCAGGAGCCAGAGAGGCTGTTCGTGGGTGATGTCTTGGGGTCTCGTTGGGGTGGGGAGGACAGGACCAGTTCCACCCCTATGCGTGTCTCGTCACTGCGGGCCCAAACCTGACTGTCCAGTAGCCTCTGGAGGATGGCGGTCACCAGGCCGCCAGGGGGAACAGGCCAAGGCACGAAACCTATTCCCACCTGGGTTGGCCCAGCACTGGTAACCAACTACAGGGATCAGACGCATTTCTGCCAAAAGCCGCTGAGTTTCGAGATTTGTTTCTGAGTCTCTGGGATCATGGCCATTAAGCAGTTCAATCAGGAACCAAAGAGGCCTTGCCTCCAACTATATAGCTGAGAGGGAGGTGGTTTGTGGATGTGTTTCCCACATACCTAACTTTTGGCCGTTTACTTTCTTGGTAAACTTTGCCCCAAGTTTTTGGGGTCTGGCCAAAGGCAAAGCAGCAATTTTGGGGTATCTGGAAGTCTGAAGGCGCCATCAGGCTGCTGATGCACTAGCCTCACAGGTACAGATTGACCTGATGGTGGCACCATACCCCAAGGAAGAGCTTTTGATATGTTGATTGTGCTACTAGATGGGTGAGGTGTCTACTCCCAATGTGGGGAGTTGGTGAGAGACAGGAGAGAAGTTACAAATAAACATAGAGGAATGGAAGCACTGTGATGGGAGGACCCAATAAACCCAAGCTCCCTGCGATGAGGCAGAAAGGACAAACCAATGTTATCCTACACCTGAGCACTGCCAGGAATGAACCCTGAGCACAGAACCAAAAATAGCACTGAGCAGCCCTGGCTGTGCTCCTTGAAAAAAAAATGCACCTCAAAATAACAAAGGAAACTGTTAAACCTTCATCCATTCCTCTTAGCCCCATAGTCCTCCTCAATGGGGCAATGGAGCCCTTGAGAACCGAGGACGGGGAAGCGTCGGGGGTCAGTGTCAGTCTAGGCCCCCTCAAAGCCCAGCTGGGCTCTCTGCAAAGAATGCTTCCAGTGCAGGGGGGCCCCGAGGCCTGGTGGGGAGGGCAGACAGGGTGAGAGGGGCCACCTCAAATCTCGGTCTCCCACCCCTATTTGAATATCTCTTTTTTTTCCTTTTGGGTCACACCTGGTGATGCACAGGGGTTACTCCTGGCTCTGCACTCAGGAGTTACTCCTGGCGGTGCTCAGGGGACCATTTGGGATGCTGGGAATTGAACCCGGGTCGGTCGTGTGCAAGGCAAACGCCCTACCCGTACTATCTCTCCAGTCCCTCTTTTTATGGGGAGGGGAGTTGGGTACACACCGGGCTGTGTTCATCTGAGGCTTACTCCTGGCTCTGTGCTCAGGGATTGCTCCTAGTGGGCTCGGGACCTCAGGAAGTGCCAGGGATCAAACCCAGGTCTGCCACATGAAAAGACAGTGCACCGTCTCTCCAGCCCACAACCTATTTTTTTTTCCATGACTGTCTTAAAAAGAAATTCACCCGAGAAGATTGGGGGTTTGTGGTGTGTGTGTGGGGGGGGGAACCGGCTGTATGATCTCTCCACCTCCTCTTCTGAGAAGAAAGCGCTCTTCCCTGGGCAGTCTGGAGTCCCTGGCTGAGCATCTGATCGCCATGGGTGACCTCAATCTGTCACCAGGCTGCAGTGAATGACTCCTGGAAGGGGCTCACCTGAGGGCTTATACTGAAGTAGTCCTGCGCCCTCTCGAGAAGGTCCTGCAGGGTTTTCTCGTCTCTCCGTTCTTTGGTGGGCTCTGGAACCTGTGGTCTGAGTGTCAACGATGGCCCTTCTGGCGCGGCTGGCAGGATCTGGTCTTTGCCCTGCAAGGAAGACAGGGCAGGGCTCTGCGGCACAGTCAACCCTGCCAGACGGCGGGAGGAGGGACGGGGGCGCCAGTACTCACCAGGCCGACATATTCCTCCTTCTTGGTCTTCGGGGTCACTTTGGACTTAGCTTCTTCCGCCCTGGGCCGGGTGTCCGGGGCCCTGCCAGCGGCCGTGGGCACGGGGATGCCGTAGTTCTGCAAATGGGTGACAATGTCGTGGACCTGGTTTTCCAGGGTCCTGAGCTGCCCGTCCACATCCTTCATTTGATTCTCTAAGAGGGTGATGCTCCTCCGGGTCATGTGGGCCGGCAGAAAAGGCTTCTTGGCCTCGGGCGGGAAGGTGCCTTCGGGGGGCAGCTTGGTGGCGCTGTCCTTCGGGGACGGGGCGTGGAAGTCGGTATTGACGCTCAGCAGGTTCAGGTGGGTGAGCAAAGCCACGATGAGCGTGTGCAGCGCATTGAAGTTGACGGCGCCCACCTCGGGGGTGCCGATGGCCAGGTCGGCCAGCTCCCGCAGGGTGACGCTATACTTGCGGGCTACAGACATGATCGCGGCTCCCCCCGGCCCCCTGGCCCCCGGCCCTCCCACTCCTGTTCAGGCCGGGCTCTGCGGGCACCGCCTTGGCCGTCGGGGCTGCTGCGCACTCCAAGCCGCGCGCCCCAGACGGCCGGTACTGAGCGCCGGGGCGACGTTTGGAACTGGGGGCGCGGCCCGTTCGCGGCCTGGTGTGCGGTTCCCCCACGCGCCCGCCCCGGACGTTTGGTGGAGGAACGTGACCGTGACCGAGCAGTGGGTAGGGAGGCGGCGCGAGGCGGGGTCTGCCCCTGGGCCGCGCGCCCCCAACGCTGCAGCGCCAGGCCTGCCGCTGGGCTGGGCCGCGGCCCCTGTGCAGCTCGCGCCCCCAACGCTGCGGTCTCCCCCTCCCCCGTGCCCCCAACGCTGCAGCGTGTGGGGCGGGGGGGGGGGGGGCCTGCCCCTGGGCCGCGCCCCCCCCACGCTGCAGGGAGCCAATGGCAGCGGAGCTGGGGAGCCCTGGCCACTGGCCACACCTTGTGCGCCTGCAGGGCGAGGCCTGGGAGGCCCGGACAGTCCCCGACCGGGACCCGAAGCGGCCGGTGGGGCCGAGGTCGCAGACCCGCACCAGCTCCAGGCCCTTCGGGACTGGGGACACAGCCCTGGGCCTCCCCGGACGCTGCTCCAGGGGGCTCCAACCAGCCGCCAGCTGACAGCCTGGAGGGGACCAGCAGCTGTGGAGGGCCAGGCAACCTGCACGGTGCTTCTCCCCAGACACATGTGCATTGTCTGCCTTTAGTGCAGGAAAGTGAAATAAAACGGCCCACAGCAGCCAGACCTGCGATCTTACCCAAAATCAGGCTGTTGGTTTGAGCTGGTAGAATTTCACCTTTTTGCTGTTCTGGCTTGAAGGCTGCTCAAGCCTTCCCTGCTCTGGGCTCAGGAGCGACACCGGGTGGTGCCCCTGGGGCCCATGCACGGCACTAGGGACTCATCTCAGCCCCCACCCAGGACTCTGCAGCTCCTGGGCTGGTAATGTCACCAAAGCTCTTTTGACCCCCAAGTACTGCCCACAGTGGACAGACATGTCTACAGGGAACCAGAGAACCCCCAAGGAGGAGTCCCCACCGCCGGGCACTGGCTGCCCTCAGCAAAAGAACAAACTGGGAGTCATCTTGGGGTGCTGGGGTGGAGTGGGGTCTCTCTCTGGCAAACTCAAGGCTGGGTGCTGCTCGGTTTGGGGGAGCCCCCTCAACAGGGAACGGGGTGCCTGGACAGACCTTAAGGGACCGTCCACAGGGTATATTCTCACACTCGACTCCCAGGAAACAAGCTCACTGAGTGTTCCTGCTAAAATCTTAAAATCTACAGGGGTATGGTGCCTGCCATCAGCAGGTCAACCTGTACCTGCGGGGCGAGTGCATCAGCAGCCTGATGGTGCCTTCAGACTTCCAGATACCCCAAAATTGCTGCTGTGCCTTTGGCCAGACCTCAACAACTCGGGGTCAAGTTTACCAAGAAATTGCACTGCACTGCTGCACTGCTGTCCTGTTGTTCTGTTCACCAATTTGCTCGAGGGGGAACCAGTAATGTCTCCATTGTGAGACTTGTTACTATTTTGGGCATATCAAATATGCCACAGGGTGCTTGCCAGGTTCTGCCATGTGAGCGGGATACTCTCGGTAGCTTGCCAGGCTCTCTGAGAGGGACGGAGGAATTGAACCCAGGTCAGCCGTGAGCAAGGCAAATGCCCTACCTGCTGTGCTATCGCTCCAGCCCATAAAGAAATTTAACAGCCAAAAGTTAGTTATGTGGGAGACACACCCACAAACCACCTCCGGCTCAGCTATATAAGCTTAACTGGCCTTATTTCTGAGACCCATAAATCTCAAAAGATGCAGTTAGTGTCTGTAGCAGGAACCCGTGTCAGGCTCAAGGCTGCTCCCCACACACTCGGGCCGAGCCATACACGAGTGAAGTCCTACGGAACCCAGGTAATGCAGAACTTTGTCACTTTGGACTTTGGGCTCAACGGGACCAGGAGCAGAAATCCTCTGCCCGCTTTCCCCAGTCTCTGGAGACCCAGGGGTCATGCCCATACGCCACCTCCTGCCAGTACCAGATAATCTCATCAGCCACCATCCAGATTACATGGCTGCTTCTCCCGAAAGGGAACATAACATGATGCCCCCATAACCATGCCACGGGACTCTGCATCAGGCTATTTCATGCGGGGCGCCCCGGAGGGGGCGGGTGAGAGCCCTCCCCACCCCAAGGGACCCAGCTCAGGCAGCCAAAAACCTCCACAACCCAACCGCAGCCACGCTCAAGCCCGTTCCCCATGCGCTCGGGCCGAGCCTCACATAAGAGTAAACATATTCATGGACTGTGCGGTCGCATGACACATCACAAAACACTTCCTACCCATTCTCCATAATTATCACACCACATTTGATGGTGTTCAGATAGTAGGCAACAAATCATAGAGGGAAATATATAGAATACATAAAATATTACATATTTTCAGATAAGTATGCCAAAGTTCACACCACCCAAACTTTAACATGTCAGTGATATCCTATAGAATGTCTTAATGGCTCCTGCCAAGATAGGACAATCTTCACACTGTTTCCTATATGAAACCTTTTTTGTAAGCATGTTCAGTAGTTCTTCATAACAGACACTACGAAATGTATTACTTTGGATGTGTTTTGTGACAGGGATTGGGATCTGGGATGGCAACATCCCGAATTTGGTGGAGGGAAGGTGTAATGGTGTTGGGAGTGGTGTTCGGATATTGACTGTAATCAAAAATTGTGAACTGACTTATAAAATTAAACAATAAAAAAAAAAAGTCATGTGGAGTTCATGCCCCAATTCAATCTACGTAATCAATGGCTGAATAAATAGCAGTACTCCTACATAATTGAAAAACAACAAAAACTTAAAAATCTCCACGTTGGAGGAAGGAGCCAGGGCGACAGGACAGAGGGGGCTTGCCTTGCCCAGGGCAGGCCCAGAGATTCCCAGGAGTGGTCCCTGAGCACAGAGCCAGAAGTAAATCCTAAGTAACACCAGGAGTTGGGGGGTGCAGGGGGGGAGAGGGGAGGACCCTCCACCTTAGAGGACACAGGAAGAAAATGCTGAGGGAGGTAGAGACGAGAAGAATCCAGATGATTCGAACTGAACCGGGCCCTTAGTCTTTCTAGAGGAAACCTTGCGCCCCGTGGGGGAGTAACACCCTGCAGTTCTCGAGAGGTTCTGCGGATCTAGCTCTCCCAATCCAAAGCAAGGGCTCGTCCCAACACCCTTTATTTGGTGCTCCCTTCTCTATCTGAGCTCCCTTTACCCCTAGCACGTGTGGCTGGCCTCCAAGCTGTGGAGCAAACCTCCTGGTACTAATCTCAGCCACTCTTGGGTGTTAACGTCTCGGTCACGATCCTCCTGTTGTTATCGATTTGCTCAAGCGGGCCCAGTAACGTCTCCATCGTGAGACTTGTTGTTACTATGTTTGGCATATCGAATACATCACGGGGAGCTTGCCAGTCTCTGCGGTGCGAGCGAGATACTCTCGGTAGCTTGCCAGGCTCCCCGGGAGGGGTAGAGGAATCGAACTCGGGTCGGCCATGTTGGCTGCTTGTAAAGCAAATGTCCTACCGCTGTGCTATCGTTCCAGCCCAACTTGGTGTTAATCTACTTGATTAACTTGATTAAAGCTCCAGCCCAACTTGGTGTTAATCTCCTTGATTAACTTGATAACACCCAAGACTAACTTGGGTGTTAAGTCTCCTATTTTGTTACTTTATGTTCCCCAGATGAATGCAATTTTTCTATGTCTATCCCTCTCTTTCTGACTCATTTCGCTTAACATACTTTCCCTGTAGTACCACTTGTAAATTTCATGACTTCATCTTTTCTAACAGCTACATGCTGAAAGTAGACTATAGACCAACCATGATTGCCACTCAATGCCTCTTTTGCAGACCACAACACCCAATAGGAGAGAGAGAACAAAAGGGAATGCCCTGCCACAGAGGCAGGGTGGGATGGGGGGAATGGGGGGTGGGAGGGATACTGGGATCTGTGGTGGTGGAAAATGGGCACTGGTGGAGGGATGGGTATTTGAGCCTAGCCCCCAAACCACCCTTTTACAGCTGACAGGGCCCCAGGCTGGCTGGGGACAGCTGGGGGAGGAATGGCTAGTCAGGGCCCTTCCTCCAGGCAGCAAATTCTTTAGAATTCAGCTTTCCCTTTCATTCCTCAGTGGCATCTTAATTGTGCGCTTGCAAATGCTAAGACCTTGGCGGGGTGGGGGGTGGGGGGTGGGGCGAGAACCCTTCTAGCCTCTAGGAGGGGAATGAAAAGCAGCAGGGGATCCGGGAAGCTGCCGCTGTTCCAGAAGCAAGGGCAGCTCCACAGGGACGGAGGCTGACGCTGGTTCACAGCTGGACCTCCGGGGCCCACACGGGCAGGAGTGGGGGGATGAGCCTGGGGTGGTCGCAATCCCCAAGGCCACCCTCCCTGGGCCCTGGTTTTTTTCTCCAGCTCTGAAAGGAGGACACCTGGACACAGGTGATGCTGGGCAGCCTTAGTCACGGTGCTGCAGTGTCTTGGGGGTCGCCCGCAAGCAGTCCCCATGGCAACGTGGACAGTAGCCAGACAACAGACATTTATTTGTCATTCAGGAGTGACAGAGACCCCCCCACCCCAGAGACGGAACTCCTGTCTCCTCAGACCTGGTCACGTGGCTCTGGGCCACACCTGGCTCTGCTCACGGCTCATTCCCGCCCTCCTGGAACCACACAGTGAACCGGCCGACTATTTCAGGGGCTGTGGAGCTCGCCATCTCCAGGGAAAATAGAATTCTTTAGAAAAGAGTGGCGGGAAGTGGACTGGGGAGGGACCGACAGGGACGGAGAGCCGGCCAGATGCTGGCTTCCTGCCGGGCATGACAGGGTTAAGGCTTGATCTCCCCTGCCTCCCTGCAACAGTTAAGGCCGCGGATTCATGCCGCTCAGTCGTCCACGGTGATGTTCCGGAAGAGGTACGCCATGGACTCCCCATTGTGGATGCGCCGAATTGCTTCCGAGAGAATCAGGCTGATGTCCACCGTCTTTATCTTCGGACACTGCAGCTTCTGTACCTCGTGAGGGACCGTATTCGTCACTACCACCTGGAGGGCAGCAGCAGAAAACAAGCAGGTGACCACGGGGCCCAGTGCGGGCACCAGCTCTCGGTGCCCTTGGCAGAGCTCAGATGGCACGCAGTACCCACGGCAGGTTCCACGCCAGGGGAGGGGGCGAGGGCACTGCCCGCAGGAGGCCGGGGGAGGTGGAAGAGTCAGTCGCCCAAGCCAAAACCCAAAAGCAGAACCACAAAGCCACACTCCCCTCGGTGTGGTCATTCACAGCTTTCTGCTGGGAGAACGCGGGTGGTCCCCAAGGGTCTGAGGCTCCTCGTGTTTGAGCCCCAGCCCCGAGGCGCAAGCAAGACCTGGGTCCGTCCCTGGCTACTGTGAGAATAAAGAAGAAAGCCCGGAGGAGAGAGGACAAGGGCCCGTCGTGCCTGGGGGGAGGGTCAGGGTGGCACTGCTGGACGTGGCCTTGGAGGGATCAGCCCCTCGGCCCCCAGAGTGCATCCCCGCCCACCTCGTCGATGGAGGACTCCTCGATGAGGCGCGGGGCCTCGGCGGACAGGATGCCGTGCGTGGCCATGACGTAGATCTTGTAGGCGCCTCGCTCCTTCAGGGTCTCCGCAGCAGCCACGAAACTCTCCACGTCGTCGATGATGTCATCCTGCCAGGCCCAGCAGGGGAGCTGTACCACCTCCATCTGCGCACCCCCCGCCCATGCCGCCGTCCCTTCGACTCCCTTCTGAGTGGGGGATCAGGAGTGAGGTGCCTCTGTGAGGGCCGGGCCGCTCGCCTGCACAGGGAGGCGCTGGCGACACCCACGGGTCAGCCCAGGTGATCCCTGAGCACTGCCAGGTGCAGCTGACAAACAGAGGTCACGTTCAAGGGCAAGCACGAGACCAGTGCTCAGCAGACAGTCACCTCTGGCAACTTGCAGAGGTCCCGGGGCTCCAGCAAAAGGGAGTGAGAGAGGGGCTGGAGTGATAGTACAGAGGGTAGGGCGTTTGCCTTGCACGCGGCCGACCCGGGTTCGATTCCCAGCATCCCACATAGTCCCCTGAGCACCGCCAGGAGTAACTCCTGAGCGCAGAGCCAGGAGTAACCCCTGTGCATCGCCAGGTGTGATCCAAAAAGCAGAAAAAAAAAAGAAAGGAAGGGGCAATGGGCTCAAGTAAGTTTCTTTCTCTTTTGGGGAGTTTTTGCCCAGCACTCAGGCACTACTCCTGGTTCTGCACTTAGGCACTCTCCTGGCAGTGCTCGGGGAACCATGGGTGCCGGGGCGCAGACCTGAGTCAGGTGTGTGCCAGGCACGCGCCCTCTCCACTGTCCTATTGCTCTGGCCCGGCTGTTTCTTAACGGGATCTGCTGGGTGCCAAGCGAGGCGTCCCCTGTGCGTCTCCAGGAAACTTCCTCCACTCGTCCCAAGGGAGCCAGGTGAGGAAGGACAGACGGGGCTTCGGGTGGACTGTCACACCTGGACATACTCCCTAGCAGAAAGTGGCCACAGAGGGCCCGGTCAGCCCCACCTTACCACTATGATGGCGATGCGGCCCCCAACGTCTCCGACCACGGTAATCGGTGGCTTCTCTTTGGCCATCATCACTGAGAAACCAAAAAAGACCAGGACAAGCCCATGAGCTCCCGTCAGCCTGGGGGCACCGGGCAAGCACCAATACCTTCCCACCAGGGCAAGAAAGCAGAGACGCCTCTCAAAACCCTGGGGTCTCCTGCAGAGACACTGTCCCGACAGCTCTGCCAGACACAGTGATGGGCACCCAGGACACGACGCTGCCCCTCGCCACACCTCCTGCAGCAACAGCCGCTATCTGGGGGTTGGGGCCACCCCTGGAGGTGCTCAGAGACCTTCAGCCCGACACTGTCACTTCACTGTGCCATCAGGTGCATGCTGATTAGATCCTTGGCAGTTCCTCCATACTAGCTCTCCTATTCGGGGTGCATCCTTTCTTGGGGACCACACCCAGTGCCCAGTGGGTACTCAGGGCTCTGAACTCAGGGGTCACTCCTGGCGGGCACAGGAGACCATATGAGGTGCCCCGGGGAATGAACCCGGGTCAGTCACATGAAGGCAAATGCCTTAACTCTGTACGACCTCTCGGTCCCCTGGGGGTATATCTTCACGAGATGACACCCAGCGGTCACCCTCCTGGGAACAGCAGATGGACGCTGGGAGAGCGGCAGCCTCAAGACAGTCCTGGGGCTGAGGACGGTACAGAGTAAGGTGCTGCCTCCAAGGAGCCCACCAGGGCTTGAACCCTGGGCCACATAGGGGCCAGGAGTGACTCCTAAGCTCAGGACCCGGAGTAAGCCCTGTGCACCACCTGGTGTGGACTCTAAATGAAAACAAGTAAATAAAAACCAGATGAGGGGCTGGAGAGAGCACAGCAGGGAGGGAGCCCCCGTGCACCCAGTTTGATCCCCACATCCCTCCTGGCTCCCTGAGCACCGCTGGGAGTGACTCGTGAGTGTGACCCAAAACACAAAACAAGGGACAGTAACAGGCTAAATATTCTGGGAGAGGCTTCTGAAGGTCTGTGAACAAGCATTGGCAAAGAGAATAAACTCCAGCACCATCACAGTCTGACGACAGCCAGCACACGGGGTACGGCCCAGTTACAGCCTACTATTGGCGCATGGCCAGCTCACAGCCCACTACAGCTGGGACACGGCCTGGATCACAGTCTGACTGTAGCTGGACACTGCCGGCTTCCCGAGCCACGAGAACGCCAAGACACAGCCTGGCACTATTCTACCGCCAAGTCAACAGCCCACCCAGGGATGTGACAGGTTCCCGGGTCTGAGCAGCCCAGAGGCTTCTCTGCAAGCGGCTGCCACTGTGGGTGTTGGGGGAGCAAGCCAGAAACGCTCAGGTGACCTGACACCCAACCGCAGGGGAGGCGGTCACGTTCCTGGTGTTTTAGGTCGGGGGCCACCCTCTGAGGGCTCCGGGTTGGGGAACCGGGACTCTGGCAGGCGGGCGGCTACTCAGTGTTCTGCTTCTCAGACCACTTCTCCCTAAAAAGGGCAAAAAGGGCTGGAGAGAGAAGTGTGGAAGCGGCCAGGTACCCGCCTGGCACGGCTGTGGACACGGCCTGGGTGTCCCCGCACCAATGAGCGTGGCCCGGAGGCCCCGAGACAGCAAGTCAAAGTGATCAGAGACAAAGCACGGACCAGAGCAATAGTCCAGCGGGGAGGAACTTGCCCAGGTTCAATCCCCATAAGGTCCCCTCTGTACTGCCAGGAGGGATCCCTGAGCACAGAGCCAGGAGGAGGCCCTGAGCATCACCAAGAGTGGCTTTAAAAAAAGTGCTCAAATGACCCTAAGTTCAAGGTTCTGCTCTGTATCTTTTTTGCTTTTTTTTTTTTTTTTTTTGGTTTTGGGGCCATATTTGGTGATGCTCAGGGCTCTGAACTCAAGACTCACTCCTGGTGGGCTCAGGACCATAAGGATGACAGGCACTGAACTTGGTCAGCCATGTGTGAGGCAAGCACCTCCCCACTGTACCATGGCCCTGTCCCTCGGTGCCCGTTTTAATTTTACCCAACAAAAGCCAGCCCCGCCCTCAGAGTGAGAGACTACTATGAGCCTGTGGCTCAAAAAAAAAAAAAAAAAAAAAACCAAAAACACAGGGGGCCCAGAACAGCTGCCCTGGGTTCAATCTGGTTCCCCCCCCCCCCCCCCACCACCAGGAGTAATTCCTGAGCACAGAGTCAGGAGTAAGCCCTGAGCACTGCTGAGTGTGGCTCAAAAAAAATTTTTTTTTAATTTTTTGCTTTTTGGGTCACACCTGGCAATGCACAGGGCTTACTCCTGGCTCTGCACTCAGGAATTACTCCTGGCGGTGCTCAGGGGACCATATGGGATGCTGGGAATCAAACCCCAGTTGCCACATGCAAGGCAAACGCCCTCCCCGCTGTGCAATCACGCCAGCCCCCTCAAAAAAATTTTTTTATACCAAAAGTTTAAACTTAAAAAGAGCATCACTGGGCTGAAGAGCAGGTCCAGCAGCAGGGAGGCGGGTGTCTTGCACGCGGCTGAGCTTGGTACAAATTCCTGGCACTACCAGCAGCCGCACCAACAGACGTGGCTCAACCTACACCAGTACTCCTCCTTACTTCAGGCCCCCAAGTCAGCAAGAGCGCACCTGTTGGGGTTGATTCCCAGGGATGCAAATGCAACAGAACAACTGAGTCAAAGGTGGGGGAGGGAGGCCGCCATGCAGGTGCGCTGACAACCACAGCTCTCCCCTGTGCCCACCCCCGTCCTCCTGGGGGCTCTAAGCCCTGCGACACAGCAGACACAGATTTTATTGGGTTTTGGGGACTGCACCAGCCATGCCCAGAAACTCCTCCCTGCTCTGCCGGGGACCCGAGTGGGCAGAACACGGTGCTGAGCCTGCCCGGCAAGCCACTCCTACCCGGGGCCAGGGTGGCACAGCAGGAAGCCACATGCCGTACCTGGCACCCCACAGTCCCTGAGACATCCCCTCCCCCGCATCCCTGGGCTGGCCCAGGGCATCTCTGGCCCAGGAGGGACTTCGGGGCCTCTCGGGAACCCTACCCCCGCCCCCGTACCCCATCCAGAGATGTGAGAGCTGGAAGCCCTCTCCGAAAGCAGACGCAGAGGTGAGGCACTCGGCACTCAGCACCATAGGGTCCCCCAGCATGGAGAGACCCCCAGAGCAGAGCAACCCTCCCAAGGGGCTGCACACTGTCCCCAAAGCCTGGCCAGCTGGCAGCAATCAGGCCACGTCCCCCCGCCTCCACCGGAGGAGCCCTGTCCCGCTGGTGTCCTTGGACACGCGTAGAGCCACTGTGTGGGCCACACCAGGTCTGACAGCTGCCGGTCAGTCCTCCCTGGAGCCTGCAGTGGGTGGCGGCCTGCACCCCTCCCCACTCCATTCCCCCCTCTGCCCTGCCCCGCCCTGCGGCCAGACTCCCAGCCAGTGCCCTGTGGACCCACGGGCCCTGCCCCCCTGCCCAGCCCCTGCACACCCCAGACTCAGCTTACACGGCAGCTCCAGGCCCGGGTGGACGGTGGCGTTCTTAACCATGGGCGGGGAGTGGCGCCCATCGTCCATGTCCAGCTCCGCGCACTGCGCTTCCCCGTGGATGACGGCCAGGCCCAGGCGCAGCCGCTCGGCGTAGGACTGAGCCCTGCGGGCAACCGAGAGGGCGTGAGCAAGTGGGCACGAACCCAGGAAAGGTCCCCAGGAAGCCCGCGGGGCCGTGGGCTGGGAGGGGGCTCGGTGGAACCAGCCGGCCACTTGCCACCCACACCTCACACGTCCGCAGGGGGAGGCCCGCTCACCTCCCTACCCCTCAGGACCCCCACCCCAGAAGGGCCCAGAAGGGTCACAGAGCTGCCTCAGAAGCTCCCAGAAGGTCCGACCAGGCCCCGATACTCACCTCTTTGCAGCATCTGGAGATTTAGCGACAATGACGGCATTTCTGTAATTTGGAATCTAGGTTGGGAGGAGATGGGAGAAGATGCTGAGGGCAGAAGGGAGGGGTCTCGCCCTGCACGCAGACAATAGCCAAGCCAGGTTCGCCCCCCAGTAACTCTCGAGATTTGCCCCCAAACAGAAAAACAAACAAATGAGAAGACATGGAAAGGTCAATCTGTCCCAGAAGAGGGGCATCCCCGTCCCGAGTCCCTCCCGGGCTTTTGGGTGTTACCGGCCCTCTGAGCCATCTCAGCGCCATCACTTTTTTTTTTTTTAAAGTAAATAGATTTGGAGGGTTTTTGAAGGTGTGAAGACAGAGAGGGAGGGGAAGAGTGTAACATGCTCAGGAGAGAACCTGGGCTTCCCCAAGGGCGAAGAGAGCCCCGCACACAGCCTGGCTTTGGACAGGAAAGTGTGAAAGTCCCCATCTCGAGAGGGCAGATGCGGGTGACACACGCTCGGGACCACAGGTGCTCGGCCACGTGGACGCAAGCAGCACACGGGCTCGGGCAGCGTCTGCGCCCCACACCCTCACCTCCTCCTGGATGTACTGCAGCAGGAAGGGCGAGGCACGCAGGTTGTCCACAGGGAAGCTGAAGAAGCCCTGTATCTCCTTCTGGTGCAGGTCCATGGTGATGATGTGAGTCAGGCCTACAACACGGACCAGCGGGCACGCTGCGACACAGCCCCGCGGCATACCAGGCCGCAGCCTGCTCAGGTCCTGACTCGTCGCGACAGGGCCCAGCAGACGCCTGAGGGCTGGGAGCACCCACAGCCCCAACCTCAAGGGAAAGCGGCAAACGAACCCACGGAGGGAGGGAGAGAGCGCGGAGGGCAGCCGGGGGGTCAGCATCGCAGAGGATGGGACCCGGGTCAGCCCCACCAGTGCAGGGTCCCACGGGCGGCTGCACCAAAAACCAGATTGTACTCTTGCTACCGATGGTGCCAAATAAAACCCCAATAACGGCAAAGCGTCCTACGTCTGTTCACAGGCCAAGGAGTACGGGGTGCGAGGAAGCACGCAGACCGGAAGCGACAGGGCCAGAGAAATGGGGACTGCGGACAGGGCGCTGGCCGGGTTCAATCACTGGCACCACCTAAGGTCCCCTGAGCAGCGAGCCAGGAGTCTGTCTCTGTGCTGGTGGGGGAGGCCCCCGCCGGGCACCACCAAGAAAAGAAAGTGACAAAAGGTCTGGGCCAGCGCTGGGCCCGCAGGAGGGCATGTGTCCGTGTGAACCCGGGGCCACCGACGTTTCGAGGAAAGAATCTGAGCTCTGGGCAGGAGGCCGGGCAGAGCGAGGAGTGGGCCCCGACACCCCGCCCACTGCCAGCCAGCGCTGGGGAGTGTCCCTCGGGCCCCTGCACCGGGGGAGGGGCTGCCTCAGAGCAGCGGAGACAGAGAGAGGCCAGAGGCCGACTTGTCCACCTGGCCGCGCCCACCTGCTTTGGCCAGCATGGAGGCCAGCAGCTTGCACACGATGGAGCCGCGCTTGCGCATCTTGCTCTGCTTGCTGTAGGGGAAGTAGGGGATGACGCCGATGATGTTGCGGGCGCAGGCCGTCCTCAGCGCGTACGCCATGATCAGCAGCTCCATCACCGCCGTGTTCACGTCCCTGCAAGAGGTGGGGGGGCTGGGCGTGAGCCCGGAAAACCACACCCTGCCAAGGGGGCCTGGTCCCGCCGACGCTGAGGGATGGAGCCGTGTCCGCGCAGTGAGGGGTGGACCCTGTGGCTCAGGTGAGGGCGCTCCACCCGAGACTCGCACCTGAGCTCACAGGGAGTGGCTGGTGACTCGGGCCCTGGCAGTGGGGCCAGTCTGGGGCCGGAGGTGAGCACAGGCTGCGGGTGGGAGCCCTGGAGCACTGCCGGGAGTGACCGCACGGAGCCGGGAATAGCTCCCAAGCACTGCCGGGTGTGGCCCCGAATCCAGAAACGACTCAGTACAGTTAGGTTCTTACCTTCCACCCGGGAGAGACTGTGATGCCCCCAAAGCTCCGCACCTGATCCCCTGCCAAAAATGTGGGTGAGGGGCTGGAGCAATAGCACAGCGGGGAGGGCGTTTGCCTTGCATGCAGCCGACCCAGGTTCAATTCTCAGCATTCCATATGGTCCCCTGAGCACCACCAGGAGTAATAACTGAGTGCATGAGCCAGGAGTAGCCCCATCCATCACCGGGTGTGACCCCCCCAAAAAAAATGTGGGTGAGGGTGCAGCTGTCTCAAAAATTTTCGGAAGGGTGTCCAGACAGGGGGAACCCGAGACCCACCCAGACACACAAGGGTGAGCACAGCGGCTGGCACATGTAAGAGAGAGGTGTCTGTCTACGAGAGAGATATGTGTGACAGATGTGTGAGGTATGTGAGAAATGTGTGGTGTGTGTGAGGTGTATGTGAGAGAGAGGCACGTGAGAGAAATGGGTTTGAAAAGTGTGTGAGCGATGTGTGAGGTGGGAAATGTGTGAGATTATGCGAGTGAGGCTTGTGTGAGATGTATCTGAGATGTATGGGAAATATGTTTGAGAGGTGACAGATGTATGTGAGGTGTGTGAGATGAGTGAGAGACGTGAGCTGTGTGGGAGGCATGTGTGAGAGAGGTGTGTGTGTGTGTTAGAAATATGTCTAGGAGAGATGAGGTGTGTGAGAGATGTGTGTGTGAGACATGTGTGAGGTATATGTGGAGACACATGTGGGACGTAAGATGTGAGAGCAATGTATAAAACGTGTGTGAGACGTGTCAGGTGTGTGAGATATGAAAGGTGTGTATAAGATGTATGCGAGAGACGGGTCTGAGATATGTGAGACGTGCGTGTGTGTGTGTGAGGCACCTGAGCGATGTGTGTGAGGTGTGCGTGAGATATGTGAAAGACGTGTCTGTGAGGGCTATGTATGGAGTGTGTGAGATGTGTGTGAGAGGTAAGAGATGGGCGAGGTACGAGTGAGGTGTGAGAGGAGTGTGTGTTAGAGACGTATATGTGAGAAGAGTGTGAGCTGTGCATGAGAGATGTGTGTCTGAGGTACATGTGTATGTGTGTGACTGAGCTCTGACTGCAGAGTGAATTTCACTCATCAACTCTAAGAGCCTTATGGGTGTCGTGTCTGTGAGTGTGTGTTTGTGAGGTGTGTGTGTATGTGTGTGAGGTGTGGAGTTGTGTGTGAGAGGCTGAGCCCCCACTGCAGACTGCCTCGCTGTCTTTCTCCCGAGATGCTCATTTTACACTTTTCCCTCTTGCTAATGGTCCACACCAGGGATTCAATATCCTCCAGCCCAAAGCCAAGGCCAAGGCCAGCGCCCCCCCGCCCCCGCCACACACACCCCAAAGGTCAGCAAAGACAAAGGACCTCTGTCACACCGCCCTTCCACCGCTGAGGACGGGGCTCACTGGATCCTGCACAGTTCCTCTGTGGGCCACGGCCGCAGAAGTTGGCAAGCTGCCTTTGCTTTGTTTATCTGTTCCCTAAGAATGTTCCAGATACATCCTGGCCGGGGCTGGTGGTTCTGCCTCTAAACAGGACAATCATTTTTCCCTCTGCTGCGACGAGCTGCTAGTGGTACCTGCTGGGGGCTGCCCGGGGGGGGCCGTGTCACCTCAGGGTCACCTCGGGCAGCCTCCCGTCCTCCTTGCTGTGCCCAAAAAGGGGCCAGAGTCCGCTCACGGGGAGCCACTGCGAGTCTGCGGGGGGGCCGAGTCCGGCTCATGACCGTACATGCCCCTTCTCTGAGGCCAGCTCCTTTCTCCCAACGCCCCTTCCCTGCCCAAACGCCCCAAGACACCCCAGTTCTGCCAGGCGAGGTCCTGCACCGCGCCACCAGCCACCAGGCGCCTGGCCACTCGCAGGTGACATGCAGCCACCCCGGCCACCAGCGCAATGGGGAGCAAGTGGCCATCAAGGCCACCCAGCTCCACTGCGGCTACGTCTTCCCTGGCCCCTCTCCGACACCCTCAGCACAGGCACCAGGCTGGGAGCTGTTTCCCAGCGCGCCTTAGCTGACTGGCTTCCCCCGTGTGTCTGGAGGCCTGAAGGACCTCAGAACCAGGCACGCTGTGCGGCCCGACGCTCTCGCAATCAGGGCCAGGAGACTATGGCCGCAGGTAAGGCCCCTTCTTCCTGGGAGAGCGGCTGCTGCAGCTGAGAGAGACCCCCAAGTGAAGAAGTTGGGGGCTGCAGAAATCGTCCCGCAGGGAGGGCGCTGGCCATGCATGCGGCCCACCTGGGTCCAATTCCTGGCATCCCACAGGGTCCCCCGAGCACTGTCAGGAGAGATTCCCTGAGCACAGAGCCAGAGAGCCGCTGGGCGTGACCTCAAAACAGAAGAAGAATCTGGCCTGGTACTGACCACCTGGCCGCCGTCCCCCTGAAGACCCAGCGTCCAAGGGCAGATGGACAGCCCAGGGGCCTCACTGGCGTCAGGGAGCTTCAGAGCTCACTGGGGTCTGAGGCACAAGCGGGCAGGACTGACTCACGCCCAGGCCAGACCGAGGCCGGCAACACCCAAGGTCAAAATCCAGCCATGGGGACGGGGTGCAGCGCAGGGCAGGGTACAGACTTCAATGCGAGGTCCGAGGTTCCCAGCACCCCCACCACCAGAAAGGGAAAGTAACACGCGAAATCCATTCGAAAGCTCAAGTACACAAGGGTGACCGTAGTTGAAACGGGGCTTTCTCTCTTATCATAACCAAAATGAACAGAGCAACCAAGGCGGGCAAGTGTTCTGTCCCACCCCCGGCATCATCACCAGGAGAAAGCGCGGGTGAGGAGGAGACAGGACAGGGGAGGCGCCCTGTGTGCGGCTGGCCCAGCTTCAACGCCCACGTAAAGCCCCCCAAGGCTACCAGGAGTGACCCCTGCACGCACCGCCAGGAAGAAGCGCTGAGCACCACCAGGAGTGACCCCTCAACACAAAACAAAACGGGGTGATTCCAGCCCCTGGGGGCAGCAGGGCAATGCCACAGTGACAACTGGGGGGAATTTCCTGCTTCTTCACTTATGGGAAATTTCGGGGGGGCATGGGGGCACAGAGCGATATTTTGGGGGAACGGGGCCATGGGCCACATGGCTCTAGGCCCCTCTGCAGGGGAACACGCAGACACGCAGAGCGACACTTACCTGGGGATCGTCTGAATGATGAAGATATCTTGGCCACGAACAGATTCCTTTATTTCAACCCTCGTTTCTGCAAAAAAAAAAAAAAAAAAAACGTACCCGATAGCTTAAGGAGGGCACCTTAGAGGGGCAGAGGGAGGACAGCACAGAGGGCGCCTGCCTTGCTCACGCTGGCCACCTTCAACCCCCCTGCACCTCAGAGGGTCCCCTGAGCACTGCCAGGTGTGACCACCCCCAACTTTATTTTATTTTATTGTTCCTTTTTGGGTCACACCCGGCGATGCACAGGGGTTACTCCTGGCTCTGCACTCAGGACTTAGGCCTGACGGTGCTCAGGGGACCATATAGGATGCTGGCTATCGAATCTGGGTCGACCTTGCACTGTACTACTGCTCCAGTCTCCATCCCCAACTTAAAACCCGAGTAACAGGGGCCGGTGCAATAGCACAGAGGGGAGGGTGTTTGCCTTGAACATGGCCGACCCGGATTCAATTCCCACATCCCATATGGTCCCCCGAGCACCACCAGGAGTGAATCTTGAGTGCAGAGCCAGGAGGAACCCCTGTGCATCGCCGGGTGTGACCCAAAAAGAAGAGAAAACAAACCCTGACTAATAACTGCCTTCCCAGGACGTGGCAGCCACCTCCAGATGGTTCTCCTTACCTCCATTGGTCTCCTGGTAGACCACTGACTTCCCCAGCTCAGCACCCAGGCGCCTGCAGAGGAGAGAAGGCCAGTGACAAACCTTTGGGGCTGGAGACAGCAGAGCAGGGAGGGCATTGGCCTTGCATGCGGCAGACCCAGGTGACGTTCCCAGCACCACACACCATGGGTGCCCTGAAACCCGCCAGGAGCAATCTCTGAGAGCAGAGTCAGGAGTCAGCCCGGAGCACCGCCAGGTAGGACCCCCAAACTAAACAAAATCCTTGAGGAACGAACAGCGGCCATCGGAGCTGAGTGAGGGACTAACTTACACGAGGCTGACGCTGCACACGTCCCCAGAGCACAGAACAAGGAGTGATCCCTGATCACAGCCGAGAGTACTCCCTGGGCACTGGTGGACGAGGCCCAAACACTGGCCCCCTCCCCCTCCAGAGAGAAGGAAAAAAAAGGGAAAGACCCTTTGAGATCTTCAGCTCAGGGTCTGGCGGCCGAGCCAGCAGGCTGCGGGGCACTGCAGGGGCACCTGGTCGTGTCCCCTGACCCAGTGCTACCGGAAGGGACCCCCCCCAGCACAGAGCTAGGCAGAGCAACCTGGCACGCTTTCCACAAAGACACAATGGAGAAGAAAGCCGGGTTCATGAAGAACTGCAAATCTGGTCACGCCAAGAAGCAGCCTCAGGCGTGGCAGGCTAACTTCTGAACGGCGCCCATGACCCATGTTCAATGTCCAGCTCCTTTACTGAATAAAACCAATCCCTGACAAAAGCGGTTACTAGCTGGGCTGGAGCGAGAGTAGAGCAAGCAGGGTGCTTGCCTTCCACGTGGCTGACCCGGGTTCGATACTCAGCATCTCATAGGTTCCCCCCCAAGCACCGCTGGGAGTGGCCCCACCAAAACAATACATCTGGTTACTAGCCGGAACGGAGCGACAGTACAGCAGGGAGGGCACTGATTCTGTTCAAAGTCGGCCCAGGTTTGACCCCCCCCAGCACCATTTATGGTCCCCTGAGCCCCCCCAGGAGTGATCCTTGAGCAGAGCCCGGAGTAAGCCCTGAGCACCGCCCACTGCGGGCCCCAACCCAAGAGAATCTGAATGTGAGCACAGGACCAGTGGGAAGGAGCAGTACCATCAGCTAGGACAGAATGGGGGTCCAGCAGACAGGAAGGAAACACCTGCGCTCAGGTGAGCATTAAAATCACCAGGCGGGGGGGGGGGGGGGGGCTGGAGCAATAGCACAGCGGGTAGGGCGTTTGCCTTGCACGCAGCCGACCAGGGTTCAATTCCCAGCATCCCATATGGTCCCCTGAGCACCGCCAGGGGGTAGTTCCTGAGTGCAGAGCCAGGAGGAACACCTGTGCATCGCCGGGTGTGACCCAAAAAGCAAAAAATAAAACAAAATTGAAAAAATATTTAAAAAATAAAATAAAGGGGCCGTAGGGCGTTTGCCTAGCACACGGCCAACTTGGGTTTGATCCCCGGCATCCCATATGGTCCCCCAAGCACCGCCAGGAGTAATTCCTGAGTGCAGAGCCGGAAGTGACCCCTGAACATTGCTGGGTGTGACCCAAAAAGGCAAAAAAATAAATAAAAATTTAAAAAAATCATCAGGCAGGGGCTGGGTGTTTGTTGCCAAAAAAAAGATGATGATGATGATGATGATGATAACATCAAGAAAGCATTAAAATTAGTGGAGGGATGGGTATTCGATCATTGTATAACTGAAACCCCAGCACAAAAATTTGTAAGTCTACAACTGTACCTTATGGTGTTTCACTAGTAAAATTTTAAGGAAAAAAAAAAAGAAACATTAAAAGCTTTGAGGGGCTGCAGTCACAGCGCAGTGGACAGGGCCTGCCTTGCAGCGGCCACGCATCCCATATGGTGCCCTAAGCCAACTGGGAATATTCCCGAGCAGAGCAAGGACTAACCACTGAACACAGCCAGGTGTGGCCCCCCAAATGTATACATATATATACATACATTATGTATCACCATGCAATTACTCATCAGCTCCAGAAGAGGAACACTAGAGCACGGCTCCTTACAATGTGAAAGATTTTTAACCACTACTTGTAACAAGTTTATCTGGAAATAAACTTCCCACTTCCCGCAGAGGTGGGCGGAGGCAGGTCTCTGCAGACCCCCAGCGCTGCTCCAGGATCCGTCCACAGCACTGCGGGGCTCCCACGCAATACTGGGTGCGAGTGGGTGGGGCAGTTGCTGCCAAACTCAGGCCACTGGCCAAAACGGTGGTCCTGGGGGGGCGGGCAGGGACAGGGGCTGAACCGGGTGGGTGGGTGCACCTCCCACCCCAGCACACAGCGATCCTGTCCCCGCTGGACAGGTGCAGTGCGGGAAAGCGAGGGTGCTGCCCAGCGTCGCGGTGGGCAGCCTGGAGAGCCCCAGAGTCCAGTGACTCCCGGCCACTTCTCAGGTGCTGAAAAAGAGGGATGTTGCCCGGGAGCGGGCACAGCGGGGCGGGCCTCTGCCCCGCACTGGCAGCCCGGGTTCGACTCCCGGCATCCCATATGGTCCCCCGGCGCGTCCAGGAGTGACCCCCGGGTGTGGCCCCAAAGCCAAGCAACAAAGCAGCAGCGAGGGCCAGAGGGCTGGAGAGAAAGGCGCGTCCGTGCCGGTGGCAGGCAGCCCCCACCCCCCACCCCGCGCTGCCAGGGGAGCCGGGGGTCGCCGCCCAGGTACCAGGTACCCCAGACTGGGCCCCGAAATTAAAAAAAAAATCAATCAATCCAAATGAGGGCAGGGCTGCAGACCCCCCGCACAGCGCGAGTGCGCAGGACCGGAGCGTCCTGCGGGGAGCGGCCGCGCGCCCCCCCACCCCGATAACGGGCCGCACAGCCGCGGCCCCCATTGATCGCCTCTATTTCTAGAGGGTCCCCGGCTCTCGCGGGCTCGCATCTCGGTCGCTCCTGCTCTGGCGCCCCCCGCCCGCGACGGACGACCCCGGAACGGGTCTCGGCCGCAGAGGACGCGGACTGGCCAGGCCCAGCGGCCCCCGGGGGGCCGCGGAGGGGCGGGGGGCGGGGCCGTGAGGCCGGCGGGGGGGGGCTCCCCTTACTCGGTGATGCGCTTGGCCAGCTCGGTGCAGGCGGCCGTAGAGTTGGCCGAGAAGACCCGGTAGCCGGTGCGGGCGGCGTTCATGGCCGGGCGGGCGGCGGGCCGGGCGCGCGGGGCGCGGAGGGCCGAGGACGCGGGCAGCGCGGGCAGCAGCAGCAGCTTCCTGGGCATCGTCCAGCCCGCGGCGCGGTTGCAGCCGGCCCGCGCCGGGCCGCCCCGGGAGCGCGCGACGCAGCTCGGCGGGTGGAGGCTCGAGACCCCCGGCGCCGCCGTCGCCAAGGCCACCGCGAACCCGCACCGCGGCCACGCGCGCCGGAGTCGGACCCCGCCCCCCCCCGCGCGCATCCGAGGCGCCGGCTAGAGCGCCCGCGGAGCCGCCATCTCGGGTGAGGGCAAAGCCCTGGGCCACCGCTCCGGCGTAGTGTTCCCCCTCCCACGTGTCCGCTTCTCCGCTGGACGGCGTCGCTCCCACGGGAGCCCAGCGCCCTCACGTTCTCCAGCCGGGCCACGTGACTTGGTCGTGGCTCTCAGCCGCTTCCAACTCTTTTGCCAGGATCCAAGATGTCGGCCTCCTGGGATTCCGACACTCTAGCGGTGAGCCTCGATGGTAACCCCGCGCCAGCCTTCTCCTAGGCGCATGCGTTCAAGTCGAGATTGATTTTTTTTTTTCTTTTTTAAGTGGAGGGCGGGGTTACTTCCTAAAGGTTGGCTGCAACCCAGCGCAAACTCCTGAACCTGAGCTCCGAAACTTTCCCAAATAAGGGGGCTGGAGCGTAGCACAGCAGGGAGGCCGCTGGCCTTGCACGGGGTTGGTCCGGGATCTATCTCCAGCATCCCATAGGGTTCCCTGAGCACCGCCAGGAGTGACCCCTGCGTGCAGAGCCAGGGAAGAAAGCCTTTTCCAAACACACCGTAATTTTGTGTCGTGCTGGAGAAGCGATTTTCCCACGCGGGTCATACAGCTGCCCTTCTTTCTCACATTCCCCAGACTCCTTCAGTCCCTCGAAGACGCACCTGCAGTACATCAACTCCACTAAGTCATTCCTAATCACTCACCAGCCATCAGCTGCGCAGCCCCAGACAGTTGAAACTAGGCCCCCTCCCACCCAGCACCCAAGTGTCCTGAGCAAGATCGTCATTAAAACTTTCGTTCTGGGACTGGAGCCATAGTACAGTGTGTAGGGCGTTTGCCTTGTACGCAGCCGACTGGAGTTCGATTCCCAGCATCCCATATGGGCCCCCGAGCACCGCCAGGAGTAATTCCTGAGTGCATGAGCCAGGAGTAACCCCTGTGCATAGCCGGATGTGACCCAAAAAGCAATAAATAAATAAACCAAAAAACTTTCCTTACCCCAGTGTCTAGGTTCCAAGAATATTCCTGAATAAGTTCTGACAATTCGGGAAACATTAGCTAGCTCTGGGTGGAGACCTTTTGCTTCTGAACAGCCCTTGAGAGCTCTGTTGTGACCCAGAGTCTGAGAGCCCCAAATCTTCAGCAGCCTGAAGCACCAGATTTGGAATTCCCCAAAAGCAACTGCATCTACTTTCTACTGAAATAGAACAAAATGAAATAACTCCACTATCCTGGAGTTATTTCCTCCTCCCCAACCCTTCCATCCCAACCTGTCACTGAACTGGTTAAAAAAAAAAAAAAGGCAAAAGACTAAAGCAATCTAAAGAGAAACCGGTATAGTAGGCGAGCCCCATGCCTCACATGCCTCCAAACCGTTCAATCCTGCACACCCTATATGATTACCCAACCCTGCCGGGAGTGATCCCTGAGCACAGAGCCTGGAGTAAGCCCCAAGGACTGCCAGGTGCGCATCCCCCCCAAAGAAAAACAAATACAGAGAGTTGAGGGTAGTACTGTGGGGAAGGTGCTAGCCTTGCGCAGGACTAACCTGGTTTCACCCCTGTCGTTACATAGAGAGGGTCCCCCACCGGGAGTAAAACCTGAGCAGTCAGGCATGGCCCCTGGTCCAGCATGGTAGAGCCAACTCAGCAGCCATGAGGCTCAGTGGCAAAGCATATGCCTTGCACGTGAGAGCCTTCGGCCCCTCACAAGGGTCAGGGAGAAAGAACAGAGGTTAAGGCAGTGTTGTCTTGCAGTGCCAGGTTCAAATCCTGACACAGCATGTGATTCCCCAGGCTCCACCAGGTGTGACCTCTAGGCTCAGAGACAGGAGTAATCCCTGAGCACCGCTGGGTGGGATTCAAAAAACAAACACCCAATATAAATATTGTGTGTCCATATATATATATATATACACACACACATGATGTTGCATGAATACTTGTTCATCGGAGGCGCTGAGACAAGGAACATGAGAGAAATTATATTTCACGGAGTGCCTGGATTCGCTCAGATCCTGTAACAAAGGTAGAGCGCCCTAAAATCTTTTATTACCACCCTAAAGGGCTCAATACAGTGGGGTGCTGGAGCGATAGCACAGCGGGTAGGGCGTTTGCCTCCCATGCAGCCAACCCGGGTTCGATTCCCAGCATCCCATATGGTTCCCCGAGCACCGCCAGGAGTAATTCCTGAGTGTAGAGCCAGGAGTAACCCCCAGTATCGCTGGGTGTGACCCAAAAACTAAAAAAAAAAAAAAAGGCTCAATACAGTGAGGTCATTAACAAAGAAGTTACGGAAGAACATGCAAAGCTGAAAGATTTTCTGCATACAGAAAACAAACAAAGTACCTAAGATTTGTATTCTGAAAACAAACAGGCTAAGTACTGGGGATCTGCATACTGAAAACAGATAGGTTAAGTAAGCACCTAGGATCTGTGAGAAGAGAAAGACTGACTGAAATTTATGAAATTATTTACTGAAGGCAGCTTAAAGAAAAAGATGTTCAGCCTCATCCAAACCAGTCAGGACACACGCGTAATCTTGCCCATTTTCATGGGGTCCTTATTCCTGCCCGTGTGCAATATAGTCTACATGGGTTAAATATATGTATACACATATATACATATGGACACATAATGTGATTTGGAGATGACCTCTGGACTAGAGCCGTTACCAACTGAATTCCATGAGACATCAAAAGAACGCCTGCTTGCCCACCTGTGAGATGGTTGGACTTCTTCGTCAAGACCCTGAACGAACAGTTTGATGCTCTTAGTATTCCTGGAGTGAGCAGACGCCATTGGGCTACCACTAGCACGTGACAGGGACAAATGAAGACATTACTGGCACCCACTAGAATAATTGATGAGCAATGGGATCACAAGTGTCACAAGTGATAAACATATATGCAATATATGTCTATAATATAATGAATATATGTATAGATCATAGTCATAGTCATAGTCCTCCTGTCGTTCATTGATTTGCTCGAGCGGGCCCAGTACATCTCCATCATGAGACTTGCTGTTACTGTGTTTGGCATATTGAATACATCACGGGTAGCTTGCCAGGCTCTGCCATGCGGGAGAGATACTCTCGGTAGCTTGCCAGCCCCATATGTATAGATGCATACTATATATGTATAGATATATATATGTATAGTGAATCGATAAACAATGGGAGGACAGTGCTACAGTGCATAAATATATATACAATCACTGTCACTGTCCTCACGTTGTTCACTGATTTGCTCGAGCGGGCCCAGCAACATCTCCACTGTGACACTTGTTACTGTGTTTTGTCATATCGAATATGCCACAGGGAGCTTGCCAGGCTCTGCCGTGCGGGCAGGATACTCTCAGTAGTTTGCCGGACTCTCCAAGAGGGGTGGAGGAATCGAACCTGGGTCAGCCGGGTCAGCCGTGTGCAAGGCAAATACCCTACCTGCTGGGCTATCGCTCCAGCCCAATATATACAATATATGTGTAAGTATGTATGCAATATATGTATAAAATATATACAATATGTTGTGTGTATATATAGTTTGGGCTGGAGTGATAGCACAGTGGGTAGGCATTTGCCTTGCATGCAGCCAACATGGCCGACCCGAGTTCGATTCCTCCGCCCCTCTCGGAGAGCCCAGCAAGCTACCGAGAGTATCTCGCCCGCACGGCAGAGCCTGGCAAGCTACCCATGATGTATTCGATATGCCAAACACAGTAACAACAAAATCTCATGATGGAGACATTACTGGGCCTGCTCGAGCAAATCAATGAACAACGGGAGGACAGGACAGGACAGTATATATAGTTTGCGTATGAAGTTTATATATATATATATATATATATATATATATATAACAGGAGCTGAAAGACAGGACAGGGCCTGAGGTGCATGCCTTGCATCTGACCAAACCTGGCTCTACCCTGAGAACCACATGGTCCCCAGCTACCCTGGATGGGCCACAGGAGGTGGGGGGTTGGGTAATCCTGGCACCAAAGGGCCCAAGCATCCTCTCACCCTTGCTTTGTTTGAACCGCTGGTCTGGTCAGCTGCAAATTTCAGGGAGGGTCCTCAGACTTCTTAGGTAGGACTTGGAGGCCCCTTCAGGACAAAAGTTTACTGTGGCCACGTCCAGTGCTTCCCAGGAAGTCATGCAGAGTTGGGGGTTCAGCACAGGGCCCAGCTCCACCTGCGGGAAAGGCAAGGCAAGTGTCTGCCCACTGGTCTCTCTCTCCGTCCCCAGCACCCACATTTCTCTTCCTTCTCGAACCCAGAGGAAAGTCAGGCCCAGCCTGCTCTGCTAGTCAGCGGTTATACGGTGCTTTTGTCCTGGTCAGCAGTTGGAAGATGCCGTCTGTGGGGCGCTGCAGCGGGCACCACCCTTTACGCAAACATCAGGGCCAGAGAATAGCTTAGCTCAGGAAACCGAGCACGGGCTTTGCACACAGGAGACCCCTGGCACTGTGTGGCCATTGTGCCCCTCCCAGCACTGCTGGGAGTGACCCCAACGCCCAGAACCAGGGGTAACCTCCTAGCCGCTCTGACTGTGGCTCAGAAACTCTAACGATGCCAATAATGTTACATACGATGTCCTTCGAGACATCTGACGCAGGAAGCTTCACTTTGTGCGGGCACAACGCAGGGTCAGGGCACACCCCGCGGTTCAGAGAGACCGCTCTCTCCCCTAGCCAGCTAAGTGGTCCCCCATTGGGCTGCCCCGCGCGTGCACCTCACAGTGCCCCCCAGTGGCCGTCCGACGAACTGTGCACGCTTCCCTGCCGGGTCCTGGCCAGTTCCACCTCCCTGGGGTCCTCGCACCCCCATTTCAGTTGATGCCTGTTCCTTAAAATAGAGAACTCCCGGGTATGTCCAGCACCCGCCCAGAATGCCCGGGGTGGCCGAGGGTCACTCTGAACCCTGACCAGGGTGGGGCGCCTCATGTC